TAGTGTAGAGGGAGAGGAATCCTTCCATGTGAAGGTGATAGTTATCCCAAAAGTAGAAAGAGGACAAAGTCTATTCTTGGAACTTAATTTTCATTATCAGGAGTTGAAAACAAAGTATGTATGTATGTATATATATATATATATATATATATATATACATACATAAAATACACTTGTATATAATAATAATAATATCTTTGTATATACAGCTTTCAAAAATACTGGCAAGGGCTGGGAAGATGGCTCAGTGGTAGAGCACCTGCCTTGCATGCCTGAGGCCCTGGGTTCGATTCCTCAGCACCACATAAGCAAAAAGAAAAAAGCCGGCAGCAAAAAAAAAAAAAAAAAGCCGACAGCGCCCAGGCCCAGAGTTCAGGCCCCACGACCAGACCAAAAAAAAAATACTGGCAAAATTTCTTGCACAATTAATAGTCAATTTTAAGAAGAAATCATATGTCCTCAGATTCATGAGGAACACTTGGTTGTATTCAGGAAAACCCAAACTGTAATTCAGTTTCATCCCTGATAAGTATTAAGACATACGACATTTAAGAATTGCTGTATTGAGTGGTGTCTGGAAGGGGAATGGGGTGGGGTGGGGGGGCATGTACAGAAAGAGGCAAAACAGAACATAGAGAAATCCAGAACTGATTGATGTGAGAGTCAAGAGTAACTCAAGATTTTTCTATTTAGGAGATTATACTGCAAGTTTATCTGAGGCTCCTTAAACATTTTGTTGCTCGTGATATACTTAAGACTAAGTACATCAGATTTCCTGATTAAAATCAATATTCTTTACAGCCATCCATATGATTTTAATGTACTGAGGACTGGAAAAGTTGAAAAGAAGTCTGGGTGAACAGATAATGGAAGAAGAGAATGAGTGTAGTGCTCATATTGAGTTGTTCAAGTTTCCAAAAAGGTATTTAGGAAAGAATTTAGAACTAGACTTTAGGAGGAAAGGGAGCTCAAATTTTTCATTTATTTATTCATTATTCATTTATTCAAAGAATATCTCATAAGTCTGCTAAGCACCATGTGTACAGTCCAACAAACAGGTATTATTTCTTCTAGGGGCTTATATCTAGGAGTCAAAAAACAGATTTTTAAACATATAATATAAAGTGTTGAGGGTTCTAAGGCAGAAATATGTATCTGATACTAGAAAGAAGTGCCACTTCTCGTGGAAGTGACCAGAACTGTCTTCACAAAGAAGGGACAGAAGATGAACAAAGTGAAATGCAGGAAGGAGAAAAGAAGGCTGTGAGGGCATATGGAAGCTTTTATAGAACAGAGAAGAAAATGGACCAGGACTGGAAATGAGCAGAGGAAAAAAATATGGGATAAGCTGGGGCCCCATGGCTCACACCTGAATTCCTAGCTACTCAGGAGGCTGAAATCTGAGGATCTTTTATGGTTTGAAGTCAGCCTAGGCTGGAAAGTTCATGAGACTCTCATCTCCAATAAACTCTCCCCCCCCAAAAACAGAAATGGAGCTGTGGTTAAAGTGGTCGAGAGCAGAAAGCCTTGATCAGAAAGAAGCTCAGGGACAGCACCCAGGCCCTGAGTTCAAGCCCCAGGACCAGCATAAAAATGAATAAATAAATAAATAAAAATGTAAAAACCATGTAGAATAAAGTAATGGCTAGCAGGAAAGGAAGAGTAGTATAGAGCCCAGGTAAGTCAAACAGATTTAGCCTGGTTGTCACATTTGCTGATCACATACCTACAGAAATTAGTTTTCTTATCAGAGAGTCAGGGGAGAGACAATTGGTAGCAGCAGTCAGAATTAGACCCAGAAAGGGAAAGAGAAAACGAAGGCTAGAGAAAATACTATGGAGAGTGTAAGGGAGCATATTTAAAGGTTAAACAATTTTCCAAATAAGGAATAGAGGAATGCACGCTAGCCATGGAAGAAGTTGGCTCCAAGTTCTAGTCTGGAGCCCAGACACTTATTCCTATGATGTCCTTTTTTCCCCCTCTATAAAATGGTGGGAATCGAGATTATACATGATTTTTGAAGTCACATCCAGCTCTGACAATCTAGACATTTTAGTAGTTAAAAACAGATTAATTGTTGTGGCAGATTGCCTTCCTCTTAAATACATATGTGCTAACCATATTTTCTTAACCTCATTCTCTAAGCACCTCCCTGTAGAATTCACTTCTTTTAATATATGAGCAATTCAAAGCACTAGCTAGTATCTTGGGCTCCTCTACTCACCTGAGTTTAATGCCCAGGGTTAAAGTTCACATGTTTTACAATCAGTCCTTTAGTAGTAATGCGATTGGGAAAAATTAATAACTTTGGTTTTTTTCCTTATCTGTGAAATAATAATGGATCTGGTCTCATAAAGTTATAGATTCAATAATACATGTACGTATATTTAAGACACTTTCAACACAGAAAGCATATATTCTTGAACAAATACAAGGAGGGGGGAAGCAAAACCTTTTGCCAGCAAAGTATATCCCTGCCTTTTCCTGAATTCTTCTGTCTCCCTGTCATCAAACAGATCCTTTAGAAGTAAGCTATCACATTCAATGAACAAATTCAGCTTATGACAGTAATTTAGGCTTTTAGAATTAGACAACAATGATTCAAATTTCAGCCAAGCCATTTATTAGCTTTATCTTTTTAAGTCTCAGATTATGTATCTGTAAAAAACAAACAAACATGGTAACATGACCTATCTCCCAAGACTGTAAAGTCTAAATTAAATAGATTTTATGTTCCAGACACTAAGCCCATATTAAAACCAGTGATATTTTCTCTGTTTATTCAAATCATCATGACTTCCACAGAAACTAAGACTTAGTGTGTTCTTGGAACTGAAAGTGTAGTAGGATCTTGCCCTTGTCAGTGAGACATTTTACCTTTGTTCTTTCTAGGATTCTGAACACCCTCAAGCACATTAGGAGAAAAGAAAAAAAATCTACAAGGCATAGCTGACCTCAAACAGAGGTAGCACTCACTCACTCACTCAACCTAGCTTCTCCTTCACCCAGATGTTGTGACCCAAATGGACTCTTTGCTGCTATTGCTCTTATTTTCTGTGTCTCAACTACAGCATGGGAGGAAATACAACCAAGGAACATGAGAAACTAAGCCACCTCCTACACAGAAGCAACAGAATTATGTAAAGAATCTATGCGGACAATTTATCCCTTCCTTTGCTTAGTTTTTATTCTGGTACTGATACCAATACCAGCCTCATCTAAGACTGACTTTCTCTTGAGAATAGGGAGCAGACAAGGCAAAATATCTTGCTAGGGGCTAGAATATGAAATACAGATTAGGCTAGTCATGTCACAAATGAGGTTCCCACCAGTGCCAGAAAGAGCTAGGGAGATAACCACAGAGTATTATAAATGGCCCCATCTAAAACAGCTAGTCACCCTGATAATATTAGTCACAGGAAGGCCCCACCTCATTATGAGAAATACAATTACAAGGAGATATTTCATTCTAAATTTTTAGAATACCTATGTTAACTCACTTATATTAGGGGGAAAAAATGTAGCCAGGTGCTGGTGGTTCCTAGCTACTCAGAAAACTGGGATCTAAGGATCACGATTAGAGGCCAGCTGGGATGGAAAAATCGCTGAGAGTCTTATCTTTAGTTAACTAGCCAAAAGCCAGAAGTGGATATGTGTCTCAGGTGGTTGAGTGCCTGCCCCTCCCCCCACCCTTGAGTGAAAAAAGTCAAGTGAGAGAGAGCACTAGGCAGAGTTCAAGACCCAGCATCAACACACGGAAAACAACAGAATGAGAGTTAAGTGAAAAGTTAGTCCTTGGAGCGCACCTCAATTGGCTTTGGCTAGTATATTAAAATATTAAAGCCAAGGTCCCCTGCCTTTCTCCAGTCGCCATTTCCAGGGTGCTGGAAAAACAGATTTGTGGAACTGAGTCTGGGTTGACAGCCAGATGCAAGATCTACAGACAGAAGAGGTGTCTATCACATGGCTAATTAGCTTTGCCTGGCTATACACTCCCCTCTCCCCCTCTCTCTAACTAGTTCCTCACAGGAGATTGTAAACATCAAACGTCACTCTGCTGGTGTTAATTGAATGCAAAGGAAAAGGCGATACATTCTGGTTCAGAAAGGGGGGTGGGGGTAACTGGAGAGGGGTTGGGCTTCTCAAATCCAGATTGGCATTCCAAAGCAGCTCTACAGCCAACCCATTTCCTGCCAAAGCAACCAGGATAAATCCCTCTTCACTTTCGCACAAAGAGGCTGGAAAGCCGGGCTCCTAGGAGATGTGGTTAGAAATGGAGAGCTTGTGTGTGGCCGGCGCCCTGTTGTCCCTCCAGGAAATGGGAGAAAGACAAAAAGGCTGCTGGGGCCGGCGAGCCCCCCACTCCACCCCCCTCCACCTCCCCACACTTTTTCAAGCCAAGCGCTCCTCCTCCACCTGCAGCGACCGTCTAAAAGGCAGAGCACAGACGGTCCCACCTCGGGTGTCCGGGGGTGACGATGGGCGTGGGGCACGCACTTCGCTGTGGTTCATTCTGCTGCAGGTGGCTGACCTAGCGGTCCTTCCTTGAATTCTGACCGCGACTCCGAGGTTTGTGTTATAATAACCTCATCCTACCTACCTGGTCTCCCAAGCACGGCAAAGGGGACGTGGAGGATCTCCAATCCCCAAGCTGGGGCTGCTGGGTCGCCCCACTTCTTTAAAAGGGAGGAGGTGGCAAGAAGCCCCCCCACCTGGGGCTGGGTGCTGGGCAGCACCGCGGCCTCCTTCCTGGAGGGGGACCCACCTGGAGCCCTGGCCACGCCCCTGGGCGCGGGTGCGGCAGGTGCACCGGCCACGCCCACACGCCGGACCACGCCCACACGACGGGTCACGCCCACACGCCGGACCACGCCCATCTCCAGGCCACGCCCCCTGGCTCCCCGCCTCCGGGTCCCTGCCCGCCGGCGCCCGCGGAGCGTTCCAGCCCAGAGGAGGAGGAGCCGGGAAGGGGGTGGGGACAGGGGGGCACGGAGCGAGCGGGGTGGAGCCGGGAGTCGCCGGGCGGCGGAGGCGGATTTCCTGGGCCGCTGTGTCTCTGGAGCGACCATGGCGTTTGGGAAGAGTCACCGGGATCCCTACGCGACCTCCGTGGGCCACCTGATAGGTAAGGAGGGGAGGGCGGGACCGACATCCGGACAGACAGACCTCGGGGACCGCGGAGCCCTTTCCACCCCCTGTCTTCCACCCCCCGCCCCCCTCCACCGGAGGACCGGCGGAGCTGGACCCAGAGGGCAGCGCTCCCTTCCCCCACCTTTTCCCTCTCCCTCCCCTTCGGCCCTCCCCTCCTCCTCCCCGCAGCCCTCCCCTCCCCCCTCCCCCGCAGCTCTCCCCGGCACCCCGTGCGTTTCTTTCCGACCCTCTCATCCTGAGCTCCCCCCACTCCCCAGCCAATGCACGTCCCCCGTGGATGCCAGACAGGTGAGCCACAGCGCTCGGGCCAGGCGATCTGCATGCACCTTTACCACGCGAGCCAGAAACTTCTTGGCCCAGAGAAGGTCCTTTGCTGCCGAAGTGCTGTTCTCTCTCAGGGCACCGTGTGTGTTGCCTCTTTCACCTACGGGGGTGAAAGAAGAGACTTAGGGAGATGAATTGATGTGGCTTCCCTGGAGGAGCAAGTCCCTTCAAACCGATCTTAGCTCGTGCAACCCCCTGGGTTTACCTTTCTGGGTAAACAGAGAGACTTGGAAACGTGTTTTTATTGTTGCTGGGTCTTATTTCATTTTTTTGGGGGGGGGACATGGGAGTGGAGGAAAGAGGGATTGGGGAGCCCACGTTGGAGACCGCCGGGGACGCTCAGGTTTCCTTCTGGTGCATCTGCCTTCCCAAGGCCTGGGTTCTGAATCACTAAGGTGGAAGCAGAAACTGGTGATTGGACTCTTAACCAGTCCCCAGCTTCCTTCACCTCTCCACCTTCCCTTCCCTCCCCCCCCCCTCCGCCCATTCCTCCCCCTGGGGATGGGGTGTGGCATTATCTGTCAAGAATCTTAGGGCGGTGATGCAATCCTGAGAACCTACTAGTTGTTGGTTAGAAGCTCCAGGTCTGGGATCAAGTTGACTGCTGGGTGATCCCATACGCCCCAATGCGCGTGAGTTTTCACGCCTTTAGGAGAGGAGCTACCCTTGAGGGGTAGTCTGATAGACAGTGGGTATTAGAAATGAGCCCTGGGCAAATACAGATTCAGACCCAGTACAGATTCTGTTGTCTCTTCAAAGACAACAGAAACTTTAGCAGGTCTGGTTAATTCCTTAGCTGGGTAAACATTAACTGCCAGCTGTGTATACCTGGGTTTGTACCTGGACCAGACCTGAATCTCAGACCTTGAGTAAGTCACTTATAGGACGATTGGACACCCTTTGTGGTAGTTACTAGAGGACACCTTGAAAATACAAGAGAAATGCCTAATGCACACAACTTACGAAAAAGCAAGTGAAAAACTCTTGCTCTGGCTTTTGAAGGGTGAGTAGGAGTATTCAAATATTCTCTATTCCAAGGTGGGAAGAAAGCTAAACTCTTGGGGTTCACTCAGTCATGCCAGTTATTATTATTTCTTCTTCGCATCTGGTGTTTTTTCAATTGTTTTGCTTCCTTACTCTCAAGGTGTTTATGTGCTGGTGCTTAGTGATCTTTCTAAGATAGTAATTCATTCATTCATTCCCATCATACTTGCTAGGAAAGTGACTGCCACTTGAGCCACATCCCCTCAGCACCGCCGCCCCCCCCCCCTTTTTTTGCTGTAGCTATTGTTCAGATAGGGTCTCCTGCTTTTTAATGAGATGGCTTCAAGCTATGATTCTTATCTCTGCCTCGAGTAACTGAGTACACAGCACCATCTCTAGCTCCAATATTTTGTGCTCTTGAAGATGTCTGGAGAGGAGAACATACCTACTTATTTAATGATCATACTCCAGGTACAGGAACTGCCTTGGTTAGTATAGGTAACCAGAAGTAATTTTACTTAGTAATTCTGAGTGCTCACCCTTCCCTCCTTTCTTCCTTATAAACAAACGCAATAGTTGGTGTCAAACAACCTCAATTTGAATGCAAGTCCTTCTTCCTACTTCCCGCACAACTGGAGTCCTTACCTTAATCTTTCTGAATTTCTGTTATATTATCTCCAATAGTGTGTTAAATCAGTTGCATAAAATGCTAAGCACTGTGCTTTTCACCCTGTAGGTGACTGACTGCTCAATAAGCAACAGTCCAGTTCTGGAGTTGATTTTCTCTGAAAGACTGGCAGATGGAGATTTTAGCAGTTCTGGTCCTGAAACCAGGTGTTGGACGAGTAGTCTTTATTAATAAGTCATTCATTACTGTTGCCACAGCAACACTCTGAACTTGACTCTGATTGATTCCTGAATTACTGGGAAATGTTCAGGAAAGAAAAAAAAGTCACTCTGCCCTTTGGTAACCTAAACAAAATGATACTGGTGTACCCTAAGGCTGATTATCTCAAGAGAACTGACATTTCGTATGCTTTGCAGAAAAGGCTACATTTGCTGGAGTTCAGACTGAAGACTGGGGCCAGTTCATGCACATCTGTGACATAATTAATGCTACCCAGGACGGGTAAGTTCAGGTAGAGGTCAAACCATTGTCCCTGGGGAGGAGCATCAGAACTGTGACATGTTTTCCCGGGTCCACACTGTTGGAGTTCTTGTGGGAACAGTATTTTCCTCATTCCTCGACACCCATTACCTTGAGAAGAAATCAGAGGTCTCTTCTTAGGTTCCGCACTTGGAGTATCTAAGACTATTATAATTTATTTCCTCTTTGCCTTTTCCTTCATAATTTTAACTGGGGTTCAAATTCCTTGTTTTTGAAAAGATAAAGAAAAAAAAAAACTATTTTTTAAAAAGAGATAGATTGTTTCCCCTTTTAGGAACTTTTCCGTCCCTCCTCTGATTGCCAGTGTTTTATGTAACTGGAAAATATGATAGAGGAGCTAGTTGACTTCTGGTGTTAACCAGTCTGTGGGCAGCCCTTGCAATTATCTGGAAACAATCTAGCAGTCTTTATTCTGCTTTTTTTTTTCCCCTAATGCCAGCTCACTTATGTTTGTTTTATGCTCTTAAATGCTTTGCTGCCTTTGCAGTACTAGGCGATTGAAGTCAAGCTTGCTAGCAAGCATTCTGTCACTTGAGCCAGTCTTTTTGCTTTTAGTTTATTTTTCAGATAAAGTCTTACAGCAATTTTGTTAGGGTATTCCCCAGACCGTGTTCCTCTGCTACCTCCACCTCCTGAGTAGCTGAGAATAGAGTTGTGCACCACCATGCCTGGCCAATCTGTTGTCTTTTGATACAGTTTTGAAACTAAAATAAATAAATAAATTTTTTTACCATTCCTAACAGTTGAACTCAAGGTCTGGGCACTGGCCTTTGCTCAAGGCCAGCACTCTACCACTTTGAGCCACAGTGCCACTTCCAGTTTTTTTGGTGATTAATTGGAGATGAGGCTAATGGACTTTCCTGTCCTGGATGGCTTCAAACCTTGATCCTTAGATCTCAGCTCTCTGAGTAGCTATGATTATAGGTGTGAGCCGCCAGCACCCAGCTCCTAAATTATTTTTTTTTTTCAAAGTCATGAGCAAGGGCCAACTAGTTTAAACTTAGGTAACTATAGGTCATCATAAGGAATACAGTTCTCTTGATTTTTCCTCCATATTGTAAAGTAAGAACTGATCGTCATTACAACTTGATTATTTTTGTGTGTTAGTGGAAAATGTTTACGGCTAATAATTCTAAGTGTTTATAAGTTTTACCTCTGTAATCTTGAGTAAAATCCTCTGTGTATTGCTTTCTCCTATTTGCTGTTAATACCAGTTTCTTCACTGATAATATAAAAAAGCAATCTTGTAAAGTGATTTTTGACCCTCTGCTTGCTATTCTTACTTTGCAACATAAAGTTGTGGCACATCAAAAACAGACCTAGTTTGTTGTAATTCCTTTTACAAGGTAATTCAGAGAAGTACTAGTAGTCTTAGTGTAGTGTGGCCAACTTCATCATTTTGGGGATTGCCATTCCTGCACAGTTCTGAGCACTGTTGGAGTGAAGTGGATCTGAGCACATGTCCTGGATGAGTGGTGCTTTATAGCAAATACTCTATGTAGACATTTTATTTGATTCTCAACAACGGGCAGGTGGTGTTGTGTGCCTATCTTCATTAGGAAATAGAGAAGGGAGGAGTGAAGAGACCCACCTTACTTGACACAGTAGAGCCAAGGTCTTGCTCTCCTCTGTTCTTTGGGTCATACAGATTGCTTTTTAGAGATACTGCTTGGGGTGATGTCAATGTATTTCTTGCTACAGGCCAAAAGATGCAGTGAAAGCTTTGAAGAAAAGGATCTCCAGAAACTACAACCATAAGGAAATCCAACTCACCTTGTCAGTAAGTACTTTAATATTACAACTAGACTCTATGATTTTTCCAATAGAGACTTTTTTTTTTAATCTGGGATTCAAAAGTACAAATATTATATGGTAACTATTGGGTGAGCAAAGAGTTATAGACTGTGTGAGTTAAGACTTTTCTCTTCATGGAGAATCAACAGAATGGAGTTCAGTTAAATATGGTAGCATCTAGATTTGTAGCAAGAAAGAGTAGTCATAGAGATAATTTTTTTTCTAGTCAGGTGAACTGATGGTTAAAAGCTTGTAGGTGCTGAGCAGATGAAGAAATTCGTGTACATATATTTTAGTTATTAGTTGAAGATGGAGTGATTACAGTCTTACTCTCTGTTGACTTTCTGCTGCCTTGAACAACTCTGTGGGATCCTGAGGTGTTGGCTGCCCAGGGTTTTTCACCGTAGTTCTGTCACGCGATGTAATGTTGAGAGTGTTCTTTGTTGATTTAAGTTAAGTCTCATATGCACTGTATAGTCTATGGTATGGACTTTTACTTGACATGTTCCCATTTCCCCCTCCCCCACTCTGTTTTGCGCCATATGACCTCGTCAGTCACATTGGTGAGTTTTCTCTTTTTACTTTGGTATGTGTTGCAAGTCCTGCCTGCTGCCTGTGTGACCTTCTCATTTCTTCTGCATGTCTTCATTTACCTACACGTGGCCCTGGGTCTTGCATGGTTATGGCTCTGATGGACAAACATCACATGGTGTTTAAGAAGTGGGAGAATGTTTATTCAGAGGGCTGTGGGGCAGAGCTTCCAGGCTCTAGGGTCATATAGAAGGAAGTACGTACCATCTTGTGTACTTGGAATTGAACTAGAAGAGAAGACATGAATTGAATTAGTCTTCATGATTACAGCCACTTAAGGAGACCCTCCAGTTGGGATCTGAATATAGTTTTAGGGGCATTTTCCTGCTCTCACTGATTTTGAACTCTCCCTTGCCGTTAACTATGTGGCAGCCACTTTAGATAACAGAACAAAGGAAACAATGGAGAAAGGAGTAAGGTACTTCTGTGGAAATATCAGAACAGTGGACCTGCCATTAGTTTCTTTTGTTTTGCTTTTGCTCTGCCCGGTATTGAACATGATGGATAGAAATGCCTGGAATAGCTTGAGGAGATGGATGGAGTTGAAACAGTTGGAAGGGGGCATGATGAAGAGGTGACATTGATCAAGATGCATTGTACTCATACCCTGACAATGTAAAGTTGATATCCCTACTTAAAGATAATAAAATTAAAACAAAATAGAAATGCTTGGACCTAATTGATCCTCAGGACATCAGCAGAGATGCTTGTATTTCCATTTCACACATGAGGAAACTCTGATTTTTGTAACTTTAAAAGGCTATTATGGCCAGGCATTGGTGGCTCACTCCAGTAATCATAGCAACACAAAAGACTGAGAATTGTAGTTCAAAGCCAGTCAGGGAAGGAAAGTCTCTTGAGATTCTTATTTCCAATTAACCACCAGAAGTTGAGCTATGGCTCAAGGGGTAAAGTACTAACTTTGAGCAAAAAAGCTCAGGGTCAGCACCCAGGCCCTGAGTTCAAGTCCTAGTGCATGCACGCTCGCGTGCACACACACACACACACACACACACACAAGTTATTATGTAGTCTAGTTGAGATTTGATACCAGTTCTTGAATTCTAAGTTCCATGTTCTGACTCTGTACTACTTTGCTTCTCTAAATGAATCAAGTTGCTCAGCCACTGTAATCCTAGCTACTCAGGAAGCTGAGAACTAAGGATCAAGATCCGAAGCCAGCACATGCAGCAAAGTCCAGGAGACTTTTACTTCCAATTAAGCCCCCAAAAGCCAGAAGTGGAGCTGAGGCTAACTTAGAGCACAAAAGCCCAGGGACAGCAACTAGTCCCTGAGTTCAAGCTCTACCCCCCCACAAAAGCATCAGGATTCTTAAAAATAGCAGTCTACAGTGCTTTATCTGTGCCATTAATACCCTTCTGCATGTGTGATGCAAGGCTAGGTATGCCTCAGTGCATGGGCCTCAGTGTCCATGCACTGGCCCTCACCTCTTCTCTCCTAGTAGTGCCTGTGAAGACTGAAGGACTCATATAAGGTTCTAGCAAGCTAGGGCATAAAGAAATGAATCCACTCTAAGGAATGACTTTCTCTAAAATGAAATGGATCTCAAGGATGCAGAAGATTAGGAGAATTTGAGTGAGGAAGAGGATAGGAGGAGGTGAATGTGTACCACTTTCTGTATTCTAGCATGGAGTATTATTGTTTTGCCACCTGACTATTGTTTACCTGTTATAATGGTTTGCCTCTGTGTTTCGTCCAGCCTTCTTGACATTTTGGTGGTGCTATCTCTGTGTCTATATCATCCTCCATTAGGGTCCCTCCTCTCTGAGGATGGAGCACTTCCTTCCCTGAGCAAGTTGAAGGGGGCTAGAGTGTTCATTCTTGTGACCCTCCATTCTTCCCTTCCATTCATCACCGCTTAAGTCACTACCTGCTTGCTGCTTTTCTTCTATTAACCTTACCTCATCGCTATGGACCTTCTGCCTTGAGATTTCCATATCAGTATGTAAGAACAAGAGAGTCTAAAATCTGTGCAAAAGTAACGAGGAGTATCGTGGGTTAGGGGTTAGAACACAACAACTTTATCCCAAGAGTTAGAGTACATTAAGGTTGGGAAAAGACTTACTGTGTCTCAACTTCTCTTGAAATGGGCCTTTGACTCTTGATGGTTTTATGCAGGCTGCACGCTATAGGCATGTTTGTAAACACAGCGAGGCTAGCTGCAATGTATCATCCAAACCAGTACAGTTTTGAGAGTGAAAAGGTGTGTCATCACTAACAAAACCAAGATAACAGGAATGTACCTTAGCTCCTTGAGAAAATTCTCCTTTGACTCTTGGCATTTGTACATAAGGGTCCCCAAGTTGTGACTCTGATGGCCTATGTGATCAGACTTCAGTCCACCTAAATACCTTGCAGAGGTGTGTTCAAGGCCTGGGCGCTAAGTTCAGTATTCACGTAAGCCCCGCTGAATTATGAGGGAAACTAGGCATAGGCGAAATCACCCGGTGTCTGTCAAATGCACTTGTACATTTTCTAACAGACTGCTTAAAAAGCTATCCTCTTGTTTGACATTTTCCTCTAATTGCTATGAAGTGATAAGAGCCTGTTGAAGCCAATTATAAATGTTATGTATATTGTTTATCTTTTTGGATCTCCATCGACTTGTTATCCTTGATTAAGTCTTTGATGGGATCTGACTCTATCCTCATGCCCTCCTGTCAACTGATAAGAACAATTTTGTCAAGAAGCCATTCATTTCTTTCATTTTCGCTCTTGCAGTGCTGGGCCATTAAACCCTGGTCCTTCTAGCTGGCAGACAAGTACTCTACCATTGAGCTATACACTCAGCCCAAGAAGTCAGGACTTCTGTTTTGATTTTTAAAAAGCACTGCTACCAGGCTATAAAGCCTGCTCGGAGTCTGAGACTGTAGACTTTCCGTGAATGAGTCCATTGTGATTAATCTCAGCAAGATACTACTCTCATTGTCTAAAAGAAAGTTGTTGAACAGGTTCCTGAGAATCAGTGGATTTTAATAGACCATTATGGAATACCCACTGGATGGAGAGCTGTAGTGGTTTCAGAAGACACATAAAACATGACCGGCCCCCCGTGCTTGTCATGAGAGAAGATGAGAAGACTCAGCTTTCTTCCAAGATTCTTTAGTAGGGTAAGGATGTTAGCATGGTTACCGGAGGTAGTCCAGGTGTAGTCTTCAACTCTGTCAAACCTGAAACCAGGTTGTCACCACTGTGCCTAGTGTAGAAATGTTCAGTGAGAAATGAGACTGCCAAGTAGCTCTTTTTCTTTCATCCCTCTGTGAAGAGAACATGACTATTTGTTGATCAGCACTTTTTCTCCTGAGCCACCACAGAAGCAGATGATCACAATAGTTGCCACATGTATTGAGTTCTGAAAACAGACTTCTGGACTCAACGTTCTGTTGAGTCTTTGAAACAAACCTCTCCTTGCAGCAAGCTTCTAGAGGTAGATATGTTGTCTATTTTGCAGTTATCCAAGCTCAGATAAGGGGGTTTTTGCCCAGTCAAATACACTGGGAAATTAGTGAAGTTTAGAATCACTCATTTTGGTTACTTTGGTTCTGTCCCACCTAGTAAATGGATTCTTGGTTGTCCTTTTTGCAAAGAGAGGTTTTCTGAACACATTTGCACCAAAGCCATGTTTCAAAATACGTAAAAGCAGCTCATGTAATTTTTTTTATTTTTATTTTTTTTTTAATTGTGAGAATACCGTACAGAGGAGTTACAATTACATGGTCAAGATGACAAGTACATATCTTATCAAGCATTGTTGCCTCCTCTTTGTTTTCCCTTCCCATCCTTTCCCATACTCCCTCCCTCCCCCCACCTGACTATGTAATTTTTTTTTTTTTTTTTACAGTCCCCACCATAGGTTTTATGACTAACTGGGCTGGGGGTTGAGTACTTTAGACATAATGGAGCAAGCGATGTAGAAGTAATTAAATCTGACGGTCTGGATTCCAATGGGAAAATACAATGGGCCTGGTTGCTGATATCCAGATGTTAACATTCTCAGAATTTCTTGTTGACAAGTTGATTTTTTTTTCATGTGTACAATACTTCTTGAGAGTATTGTGTTCACTGTTACCAAAAAATGTTATGATGCAAGGGTCAAAACTTGGTTTGTAAAAATGTAGAATTTTACCAAGAGGTATGTTATTTGCTTCATTATGAGAGGAGCTGAGATGTAGAGACCGTGTCTTTCATACAAAATAGCCAGGCAAAGATGTGTATAAACTGACATTGAGCTAGGGCACTTACTTGCCCTCTCGGTATTTGACCGACTGAAAACTTACTCATTTTAAGACATTCTCAAGCTCTAGGCCATTTGTTATTCAGCTTTTCAACGTGGTCTAACTGGCTGTATCAGTACAAATTACTTTTATTGTATCTGGGGTTTTGTTTCTGTTTTCCTTTGTTTTCACTGTTTTTTTCTTGTGTTATACATAGCTTACGTGGGCACAGCATTGGATTGTCTTCTGGCTCTTTTCCCCTGCTGCTTTTTTGTATTACCATGAAAGTAATATTCAAAATATACACAGTATTGGGGAAAGTTAGGTTTCAGAACGTCTTTTCTCCACAGATGCTGATAGCTTATCTTGGTCAAGTTACCTCTCTAACTAAAGATGGTGGCATAGAGAGCTAATTTTGCTTTTAGAATGCTTTTAGAAATCTACTCTCTGAAATTAGGTGTTTGTGGCTCACACCTATCACCTTAGATACTCAGGAGGCTGTGATCTGAGGATCACAATTTGAAGCCACTCTACGCAGGAAAAGTCCATGAGAATCTTATCGCTATTTAACCAACAAAATGCCAAAAGTGGATCTCAGGTTCAAGTGATAGAACACCAGCCTTGAGTGAAAAAGCTAAGGGACAGCACCCTGGCCCTGAGTTCAGGCCACATTGTTGGCCAAAAAGGAAGGAAAGAAGGGAAGGAAGGAAGGAACGAACAAAGTAAAACAGTAAGTAACTAAGGAAGGAACTTCCTGTATGTAATTCTTTCATATGATCTCTTAGCCTATGTTTATTAAAAAGGATTATTTGCTGGTGCCAGTGGCTCACACCTGGAATTGTGGCTATTCAGGAGACTAAGATCTGAGGATCACAGTTTGAAGCAGGAAGGAAAATCTGTGAGACTCTTTTTTCTTTTTGCCGGTCGTGGGGCCTGAACTCTGCGCTGTCCCTCAGCTCTTCAGCTAAGGCTAGTGGTCTACCACTTGAGCCACAGCGCCACTTCCAGCTTTTTTCTGCTTATGTGGTGCTGAGGAATAGAACCCAGGGCCTCATGCATGCGAGGCAAGCACTCTACCACTGAGCCACCTTCCCAGCCCCAATCTGTGAGACTCTTATCTCCAGTTACAGAAAAAGCCAGAAGTGATGCTGTAGCTCAAATGGTAGAGTACTAGCCTTGAACAAAAGAAGCCCAGGGACAGTGGGCAGGCCTAGAGTTCAAGCTCCAGAACCAGCAAACAAACTAACAACAGCAACAACAAAGTGCTTATTTGAAGATGTCTAATGATCCCAATTACCAGCACACCCTGCTAATTTTTTCTGTCCATATTCTAGTGCTTTAATGTTTCTTCTTCCTGGAATCTTCTCTTTTGTCCTTACCAGTGTTCTCTTGTCCTTACTTTGTGTTCTGTTTTCTGTTTTCTTCAGCTGCCTTCCTTATGTTTTTCTGGCCTGAATAATAGGTGGTCCTGTGCCCCAGCTCTCCTCCCCTCTCTGTTTATCATCAGAATAATGATGAACTCCTCACTTTCCTGAGCTGCAGCTGTGTCTGGACAGCTCCCTGCTTTCCATCTACTTGAATGTCCCCCTTTTCTTTTCCCACTGAAAGTACCTAAATTTCAGCCCATTATTTTTGCTCCTAAAACCCCCCATAATACCATTCCATCCACTCCCAAATTTCCACTCTGGTACCCTCAGTCTGTTGCAGAGGTGAAAACACTTAACTTTCATTCGCTCTTCTTCTTCCATCACACACTCTAAATTATTCTGGTTGTGTTTTTGTTTTTTGATTTTTTGTTTTTCTCAAATCCTGTCCTGTCCTCACTTGCACAGATTACCCCACTTCAGGTCTTTTCAGTATCTGGCCTATACTAGTGGGTGACTACTAGATAGTTCTGTCATTTTGGTGTTGGTTTATTGTCATTGTTGCTGTTGGGTTGCTGTTTGTCCTCCAGTTCCCTTTGTAGAGCACTCCCTTAAAACCTTTTCAGGATGCTACTTTGTCTTGAAGTCTGGGTTAGGGATGTGATGGTAATAAACTAACAGAAACCACTCAGAGGATTCAAATCCACATTCTACTTTGCCTTGTAAATGTCTGAGTAATATGGCATCCCCGCTCCTAATCCCAGTGTCCCCACTTTACCTGTATTAAAAAGCCAGAGACAAACAAGAGTGTTTATCTTCATGCTCAGAACTCACATCTTCCATATCAAATACCCAAGGTAACTAATGTGTGATGAGAAAGTTTTCTTTCTAATTCTTGGTTTCAGTCCATGATCACTTGGCTCCGTTGCTTTTCGGCTTGGACAGTGAACCCTATCGTAGTGGAAATACCCACTTACTTCATGGCTGGGAAGCAGGAGAGAGAGAGAGAGAGAGAGAGAGAGAGAGAGACAGAGACAGAGACAGAGACAGAGAGAGAGACAGAGACAGAGAAAGAGAAAGAGCCAGAGAGAGGAGAGAGGGGAGTGAGGGAGAGGGGACAGTTCCCTATGAAGGCATACTCACTAGGAACTGGCTCCCCCCTGTTAAAGTTGTCACCAGTAGCATCAGGCTGGAGACCAAGCCTTTAACTCCTGAACCTTTGGGAGATACATATTCCAGATCCACACAGTAGCCAAATGTATTGCAGCTCTATGCTCATTTCTATTTTCTTAGCCCCCTTTCAAAACCCAGATTAGGAATAGCCTTTTCAAAAAGTCTTACAGGGACACCTGACCCTAAATCACCATACTTGCTTATTAAGGTCTATATTTAGGCTGACTACAATTTATATGAAAACCAGGACATATTTTAGAGTAGTTACTAAAACCAAGACAACAGGAAAACCCAAGGTCTACCACTGAGAACCTGGGACAAATGTTACCTATCTATAGAGCCCCTATGTTATGCTTGTATTTCCCATTTAGCATTTGCACTATTTCCTGGTGTCATCAACAGTGCTCTTTGGGGCTTGAACTCAGCGCCTGGGTGCTGTCCCTGAGATCTTTGGCTGAAGTGCTCTACCACTTGAGCCACAGCTCCACATCTACCCTTTTGCTGGTTACATGGAGATAAGTGTCACACAGACTTTCCCATCTGGGCTAGACTTGAACCACAATCCTCAGATCTCAAGCCTTCTGAGTAGCTAGGATTATAGGCCTAAGCCGCTGGTGCTGAGCTACCATACATTTGGGGAGAAAACGAATGATCATTATTTGGCAATGTCTGCCTTAATTGAGGAGACAAGAAGTACAATGCTCAATTTTTCTGTCTTATTTTAGCTGATTGACATGTGCATGCAGAACTGTGGGCCGAATTTCCAGTCTTTGATTGTGAAGAAGGAATTTGTCAAAGATAGTCTAGTTAAGCTGCTGAATCCCAGATACAACTTGCCACTAGTCATTCAGAATAGAATCTTGAAATTCATTAAGGTAAGTCTGTTGTACACGTCATGGGATGGTAAATTTCTAAGATTATAAAGATGGTAGTCAAAAAGGACCTGGAAAGCATCTTTTTGGTTGATGTGGAATAATAATTTCTTGGCACAATGGCACCTTTTCTTCTGAAGACTTCATAGTCCTCTCATCCCTTTTTCCCTGTCAGATCTTGTTCTATCCATAGTAATAGTATGTCTGTTTGGTAGCTATGGAAACTATATTCTAAAGTGGAGAACTGACTAGTTCAAGGCTACTTTGTCAAAGATCTACTATTAGAATCTTCCTATTACTTTTGGATTTAGTATAGGGGGAAAAAAAAAACAGAGAAAGTGAGATGGATAGCATCTATATCCAGAATTTTATCAAGATACTGATGCATGCAAGTCTGATTATTTAAAATACTTTATGACATTGTTTATACCTTCTGAAAAGGAACATTTTATCCAGGATAGTAAAAAGAGTAGCTTTCTCTCTCTGGGTAAGGATCATATAATTGCATTTTTCCATCATAAGCTTAAGAACTTCGGTTTTGTTATGGTTGTAACTCTGGGACTTTCTCTTTCTTGAACTCAGACTTGGTCACAGGGTTTTCCAGGAGGCGTGGAAGTAACTGAGGTGAAAGAAGTGTACCTGGACTTGCTGAAGAAAGGTGTCCAGTTTCCTCCCTCAGACGCAGAAGCTGAAACAAGACAGGAGGTAGGAGGCTCTCATTTGACTCATGTAAAGTAATGTTATATGTTCCTTGGGCATTCTCTTAAGATAAGGGATTGAGCAGTTTACGAGAAAGCTGAATTTATCGGGAGGATTTCACCCTATTGTACAAAATAACAAAGGTTCATCATCAGACTTTGCTGTTAATGTCTGATATAATAAGGAAGTATGGGTGTAAATACGGTCTTCTTTTGTTAGGTTTCCAAATACTTTTTGACATATTAATGCTAAGAAGCATTGGTCTAAAGCCCATGCTAAGCCAGGTGCTACTCAGGAGGCTGAGATCTGAAGATTGCAGTTCAAAGCTAGTTCAGGCAGGAAAGTCCATGAGACTCTTATCTCCAGTTAACCACCAGAAAACCAGAAGTGGCACTGTGGATCAATGTGGTAGAGAGCTAGCCTTGAGCTAAAGGGCCCAGGCCCTGAGTTCAAGACCCATGACTGACCATAAATAAGTAAATAAATAAATACTAAAATAAAGCCCCATGCTTAGCGCTGTACATCCAATGTTGCTGAGAATGTCTTGACCCAGGAAGCCATTCATTGCTAGAGGAAATGCCCTACCAGCTCTGATTTGAAAAGACTTTACATGAATTGATTTACAATCCAACAGAGAGTGGCGACAATCTCACCAGGTAGACCTGTGTGAAAAACCAAGAGTACTTTATTAAATTATAATTCAGTTAATTATATCTAACAACTTATGACTCTTAAGTCATTTGCTTAAGACTCTTACAACATATTAGACATGTCAGTACCTGATGGCTGACTGTGGGCTAATGTCCTTTATCCAGGACTTTGGCTTGACAGTGCCAGAGTTAGCTGAAGGAGGAAACTAGACTTAAGATTACTATGCTAACTCAGAGTGTAACATTTCCATGTTTCACACTGATAGACTGCTCCAATCTCAGCCCATGCACCAACATCGGTCCCAACTGCTCCTGCTCTTCCATCCATAACTGCTACCAAGAACCCGACTATTTCATTAGTCCCAGAACAGGTAACAACAGTGATAATTGTATTTATTGATACTTTTTCTAAGTTCTAAACAACATGTGTGTATGTGTGTGGGGTGTGTGTATATATATATATATGTATGTATATGTATATACAGGTGTGTGTATACAAATGTATTACACTATAGGATATAGGTATTTCATTTTAGAGAACACTGAACCTTAGTGAAGTAATTGTTGCTCATCCCTCAGGAGAACTTTCAGTGAGTTCTGTCTGATTCTAAAGTTCACACTTTTTAAGAGTTGTGCTTTGCTAGCAGGTTTGAGGACTTTGAGGAGTCTTTGGCTATGAATTGGATCTTGTGTCATCTGCCAGTTGCTTTCTCTTACTACCAATAGGATTGTCCATATATTATTTCAGAAAGCTGTTTAGGTGTTCACCTTATTATGTTGTTTTGTCTGTTTATCAGAGATAATTTTTTGAAGCTCATTTATGTCCTTTTATAAAACTACCATTAAATATTAAACCTTACTTAGTGTATTAACTAATATCAACTATGTGTTTCTTACATAAAAGTTAATATGCTTAAATTCTTCTTAGAATTTAATCCAGGAAACAAAAGTAATATTTTTAATCCTTTCTCCTTTAAATTTTTTAAAAACACTTTAAAAATCCTCATCCTTTTTCCTCTTTTCCTCCTCCTTCCCTTCCTCCCCTTCCTTCCCCTCCTCCTCCTTCTTCTCTTTCATCTTCTTGCTCCTCCTCCTTCCTTCCTTCCTTCTTTCCTTGCTACCTTCCTTCCTCCTCCTTCTGTTCTTCTTCTTCTTCCTCCTCCTCCACTTCTTCCTCCTCCTCCCCCTCCTTCGCCTTTCCCCTCCTCTTCCTCCTCCTCCTCCTCTTCTTCTTCTTCTTCTTTCTTCTTTCTTCTTCTTCTCTCCACCCCCCCGCATGAGTTACAAAAAAATTCAGGATAATATATTCTATTTTTTCCAGGTTCTAGTACCTTCTACTAGGTACCTAGTACCATCTCTCTTCCCAATACTGGTTCTTATCTGATTTTTTTTTTTATCTTCACTTACAGCTTTCTTAAGTAATCTCAAGTCCATTTAGAAGGTGACAGTTTCATTTGCACAAGAATTATATTTATAATTCTATAAACTTAAATATACTTAAAATAGTTTTACGAAGGTAGTTTCCAGGATATATTCTGGAACTGGGCAGTAGGTGTCTTTATATGTCTGCTTTACTGATTGCTGGGTGTTATTGTCTACAGATTGGAAAGTTGCACAGCGAATTGGATATGGTGAAAATGAATGTGCGAGTGATGACTGCCATATTGCTGGAGAACAAGCCTGGGTCTGAAAACCCGGATGACATAGAGCTTCTGCAGGTACAGTATGATATCAGGGACCATTGGTACAGCTGGTCTGAAACTTTGAGCTTTGGAGGTAGAAGACATGTTAATAATAATGTCTAGTCCGTCCTCTTACAGCTTGACTTCATCTGATTTCTAAACTTAAAAAGATCTAAGTTGAACCCTGACCAGAAATGCATCATAACTTAAGTAGAATCCTTACCCTCTTATAATAGAACACTTATAGCTTTGTCCAGTCTAGTCTCTTACTATTGCCAGTGTATAAATATTGCCTCTGTGTCCTCCAGCTCAGCAAATGTCTTAAGTGACTATGATGTGGTACAGGATATGGAAATAAACTGTCCTAGTTTTTGAGAATTATAGCTAGTGAATAAAACTGGTTTATAAACAGCACAGTAAACTATTACAAGTGATGTAATATAAAATCTGTCCAAATGTGGTGGGATCCTATATAAGGACAAGGAAAAAAGTGGTGTGGTTTTTAGGAAAGATATACGCAGGCAGTATACTAAAGAAACAAGTGGACAGAGCATCTGGACCTGTCTGTGGTCATATAGTTCATGTTTATATGATATAGTCACGCCTCATTTCCCACTCCTCATTTCTCATGTTGTTAGCTTTCCTTAATTTCTTAGAATGTTATATTAGTATATAACAGTTTTTCTTAATCATTTGGAAAGAACAATGAGCAAATATTAGCAGTCTTCAGATGTGTGGAGCATCCTGTGCATTCCTTCCGTGTTCTGGGCAGGACTGAATTGTGAACAATCTTGAATGTGCTGGATTGTTTTTTCTCTTAACTCAGGAGTCAGCAAACTGTGAGCTATAGGCCACGTGCAGGTCTTTGTTTTTGTGTTGTCTGAGGCCTCAGGAGGGTCATATAAATGGATAGTTTTAAGTTGTTTAAAAAATAAAAAGAAAAACCTTAGAGGTTATTTCTTATTGTATACAAGCCTATACCCAGAAACCACCAGGATCTCTGATACACCTTTTACTCCACACGACAATATCAATGAATGTGAATGTGTAATAAGAAAAGGATTCAGAGATTACATTTGTAATCCTAGCTACTCAAGAGGCTGATATCTGTGGATGGAGGTTCAAAGCCAGCTAGGACAGAAAAGTCCATGTGACTCTTAGCTCCAAGTAACCACCAGAAAACCGAAAGTGGAGTTGTGGTATAAGTAGTGGAGCATTACCTTGAGCACAAAAGCTCAGGGCTGGTTCCCATTCCCTGTATTCATGCCCTAGGACTGGTACAAAGAAAGGAGGGAAGGAAGGGAGGGAGGGAATGAAGGAGGGAGGGAGAGAGGGAGTGAAGGAAAAGGAAAGAATTCAAAGCAGTGCCTTGGGAGCATAAACTTCCAGATTCAAAATATGAGCCATATAGGACATTGAGGACTTCAAGTCATGCCAAAAAGGGAAATCAATCAACATGACAGAAAGAACCACTAAAACCATATCAGCCACATGGTATTTGATGGTACACCTAGCACTTGAGAGGCTAGGCAGAGTATCATGAGTTAGAGACCAGCCTGGGCTACAGAAGGAAAGCATATGACAATCAAACCACATTTAAATAAATAAACCAACTCCATCTAAGCTGAGGTGCTACACACCAGATCAGGTTTTTAGGCAGATCCTCCTGGTGGAATTAAGATGACAAATTATGGTGAAGCAAAACTATATTCTTTATACTCATTGGGCTTAGACTGTAATATATTAGTGAGAGATCATGCCCATGGTTGAGTAAGTTTACAAAACCAATTAGCTACTATATTTCTCCTTGGAGGTTTGTAAAATTGATGCTTATAGTAAGACTCTCAGAGATTGTTTGGCCCAATATTAATGAACATTTTTTGTGAACAAAGAATTCCTCCCTGCTAAATATCTGTTAATATTCCATAGAACTTTAGAGTAATATACCTTAGAAGGCACATCAACAGTTGTGATCATTGGCTCTTAGTATATTATGTTAGGTTTAGAGTGTTTTACTTAGGATCATTATCATGTATTAATTTGCAAGTAAGTGTTTTTTGAGGTTTTTGCCCTTGGGCAACTCATTTACCATCACTGGTCTTAGTTTGTGTAAATATAAAAATGAAGAGTTTAGATGATATTTTGTAAACAAAAGAAATACTAAGCACATCCTATTAATAAATGAAATTAAAGGAAACCAAGCATTAAATAGAATTCATATTGTAGCAATCCTTTAAAAACATTCATAACTGAAGTTTTCTGTAGATAAAAACTTTCTTAGGATGTTAACAAGAATGTTAAATTCAAAATTAAATATCAAAGTACAAGGGTACAAAGCAGATTTTTTTTTCAAAAATGGCCATAGCAATATATCTTATTTCACATGTTCTTTCCAGACCATTCTGAGCTTGAAAATGAAATGATTTGTGACTTTTTCTCTCCTGTTCTCAACCATCTGTGGCAAACAGTCCTTCAGTAAAAATGTATGTTCTATTTAAATATGTGAATCCTATTTTATGTTTTATTCTATCAAGCATGAAATCCCGTTTTGTCTCAGAGTCTTTGGGTGTAGATAATCTGATTGAATTTGGAAGTGTGATGCTAATTTGTTGGGTTATTTTAATGCCAGGGCTCAGGGCTGTATTGTCTTGAATAGTAAAGAGACTTAGGTTATAAATCAGCATTAGAATACTGCTCATGCATGGCCAATTCAAGTTGAATGGGTTCTGGCATTGGATCAACTTGTTGATCAACACATTTTTCTATGTGTTTTTTTTTTTGTTGTTGTTAGTAACACAAAGATCTGGTGTAGGAATGCTGTTCTTAATTTCTGAACTGTTGATCTAAAAAAAATGTGATAATGTCGTTCATGGAAAGAAAGGATAAGGAGCACATCTACACTGAAGGAAGTAGCAAGGAAACCACACAGACAGACTATGGAAAAACAAAATGATTCTTTCGTATGTATTTTTTCAAAGGTCTTCTCACCCTCATCTAATCTACTGGATTCAGTAGCAGTGGGACCTCCAAGTAATGTCAGCTTCCTGGCTGGCTGCCCTTGTACGTCAGGAGCAAGCACATAGGAGGTCCTCAGAGGAGATGGGCAGCCATGTGGAAGGGCAAGTCCAATGGAAGGAATGATGTGGAGAGACACGATGATGTTGGTAGAAGGAGTAAATTCTCCTTCCTGTCTCCCATTTACCACTGGCAAGCCCTGTTAGCTGAACCCCATTAGGAACCATAGGGCACCTGGTGATAGGATTAATGTCTTAACAAGCTGAGTAAGACATAAAGTATGGTCCAAGATCTAGTGGGCAAAAGGAATGTGGCCGGTACATAGGAAAGGCCTCCATCTTTCAAAAACTAGTCCATGATTTGTGCATGCTGTCTTAAGCCAGGGAACACAGTCTTGTCACATTATTCTTTAGCATTAAAGGCAGCTTGTATACTTGGAACTGCCTTCTTGTTCTACTTACTGTTAGCTTATTTGGAACCTGTTCCCTGTGTATGTCCTCCCTATGAAATTTAATACATTTTACTCAAATCTCTGTGTTATTCCAGTTCATATTGAGCCACAGGATCACTGAAAGCCCTAGTGGTTCTTGGAAATCTTGTGCTTTAGTATGAAGACTCTTTGAGAATAAAGCCATTCTGTACTATGGACAGCCCTTCCTTCTGGACTTTGAACTTCTCTGGGTGAGAATGGAGTTCTTTTGCCCTAGTGGAGCATGAGAGTTCAGATGGCTATTGTTGTCACAGAAAATGAAGAATTGCGATGTTTGTTTCCAATATTTGCTTTCTTGGCCTTGTACACTTGACCTTGGGCAACTTCCTTTTAGCTTGCATAGCTTTCTCTAGTATCTCCCCAGTTTGGTTTTTCTTATGTTTTGTCTCACCTGAATAGGACACTGAACGAAGAAAATATTTCAGAATAAAAAGAGCTCACAATTTATTGACGTAAGCCCTGACAACTACTTCAAGATAATTTAACTACTTACAGCATGCCAATTTATAAGTACAGTATACATCTTGATCAATTTCATCCCTTCCACCTTTCTCCTCCCCACCCATCCCTGTTCATTCTATCCCTTCAAGTTAGTTGGTTCCATTTTCATAGGTATACACAGAGTATTACGACTGTATCAGGCAGCTCACTTTTTGAAAGGACAACTAGAGAAAGCCTCACTTAAGTTTATTAGAAAAATGTTGAGAGTAAACCATGAAAATAAGAGGAAGACAAGGAAAGTTATTCTCCCCTGCCCATTCTTCTATTTCTACCATTCAGGAACTCGTAAGGTGTTAAGAGTAGGAGGGACTTTTTAAAGTCAAAGAGCCTTATCTTTCTCCCTTAAGGGACTAAGTTGAATATTCAGAGAGGGAAGCAAGTGATGGAATGGGAATGAGACTCACTCTCAGAATCCTGAATTCTGTCCATGGTTTCCACTCCTTTCTTGCTGTGAATCCATGACTTGATGTTCTAGTGTAGACAGCGACACTACATATTGGCTTCTGTAGGCATGAAACAGCTTGTGAGTTATAAAGAAGCAACTTGAATGCAGAAACTGTTCAGTGTTAGGGTTGGAGATATGGCTCTAGGGATAGAGTGCCTGCCAATCAAACACAACTGAATTGAAATCCTAGTCTCTCTGTCTCTGTCTCTCTCACTGTCTGTCTGTCTGTCTCTCTCTCTCTCACACACACACACTGTTGGTGTGGCAGGGAGGAGTTTTTATTCGAGCAGATAAGACACATTGTCTGGTCTCTTGTAGGCTGGGTGGGGAGCACTAAGAGAGAGGAAATATGTTATGGGCTGATAGCACGGTATTACAGTACCGATAGTTTGTCTAGTGAAACTTTCATACAACTTACATGCGTATTGTTTCCTGTTTTCCCTTCTTCAAGCTAGATGTTCAGTCATTTAAAAACATTATCCTGGAGTAGTTGTACAAAGGGTTTTCAAGTCAACATAACAGTTTAGGAGCACAGTGCATCTTAAGCAATGCCACCCCTTCCTTTGTGCTCCTCCATTTTTCTTCTTGCTTTCAGTATACTGCCCCCTGTTGGTGAACCCAGGGTTACCTTCGTCGGTGCTGAATATGCAGAGGGATTTCCTTTCCTGTGTTCTTCCTGAGTGCTTAGTGGAGAGATTGCAGGCATCTGGAGGTCAGAAGAGGGTGCTCTTAATGAGGTCCATTTTGTCTAGCTCCAACTTTGAACTGGTTGTTAATTTCACTCTGCCTTAGAAGCCGGCCTTGGGCTTTACAATCAAAGGAAACCATTCCAGGGGTTCTGTGATAGACACTAGCCACTGTCACTCTTGTTTTGATTCACCTCTCCTGGTTCTCCATATCCATGGCCCTGCAAAGGCCTGCTGTGGGGAACTCTGTGACCCATCTTTTTTGTCCCTGTTACTTGATCTATGCTGTTTCCAGGTGGTGTGGCCCTCCTCTGAGACACACATCAATTGCAAAGATCAGAGTGGGCCAGCGTTTGAAGAGGTTTTCCACATTCTGTTTGGCAAGCCTGCTGAGAGATGTGGTATTCCTTTCATGTTCCCATTCCATCTGCTTTCCAAAGGGCAAAGGCAGGGTCTTCATGTGACCTGAAGCTATTGATGTTAGCTGCAAATTCATTTCAAATTAATTTCTACAAGCATCTGACACCCATTGTATTTCCTTGATCTTAACCTTATTTTAGCAAGGCTGCCCTTGAGCAATAAGAGGGAAAATGTCTATACACTTTAAAGCAAGAACAAAGGAAGGTTCTTATTCATCAGAGGGATTCTATTAGCTGCTGTTGTTTTGTGGGTTTTTTCCCCCTTTGTGTGACATTGGTCCTGGATAATAATGAAAATATTACAGGATTATATTAGTTATCTAGAGAAGCTTCTAGTAACTCCTCCTTAAGCAATCACAATGTATTTATTGACTGTCTGGTGTTCATCAAACATCATAGGGTTTCAGTTAAACCATTTCCTATTCTTAACAACTCTGCAAAACAGAGTTGTATTATAAGTAACATAGGGTTATTGTTATTATAAGTAACATTGTAATTATAAATAACATAGTTTTGTGTGTGTGTGTTTTGTTTTGTGGGTCATATTGCTTGAACTCTGGGCCTGGGCACTGTCCATGAGCTCTTCAGCTCAAGGCAAGTACTCTACCACTTGAGCCACAGCACAATTCTGTTTTTCTGGTGGTTAATTGGAGATAAGAGTCTCATGGACTTTCCTGCCCCTGCTGGCTTTGAACCGTGATCCTCACATCTCAGCCTCCTCAGAAGCTAAGATTACAGGCGTGAGTCACTGGTGCCCAGCTCATGGGTTACATTTTAATCTTACTTCTCTAAATATTATGTTAAGTATACTGAACACACCTTTGTTCTGCTGAGTCTAAAGTCTTGCCTTTGCAGGTAGCTTACCCTCTCCCTTTGCTTTATTAGAACTTGGCCACACCCATTTATTTACTGATTTTCTAGGGTGGTTTTTCCACTATAAGGCAGAGACTAGATGGCCCACTGTGAGAGCCACCAAAAGCCCAGCTGTGAGATTGGGAAGATGGAATGCCTCCTCCCAACATGAACACTCAGATGACTGAGAGTTTTCTGAAAAGGTCAATCAGTACTGGCTTGAAAGAGAAGTCGGATTTCTATCCCAGGTGTAGACTAATTCCACATCAGACTTTCTGGGAACTTGGGAATAGATAGAAATCTATGCTAACTGTAAGTAATTTACTGCTTACACCTGCTTCTTAAGATAAAAATTATTTATCCCTTGAGTAAAGTTATAACACATGATTGGTGCTTATGACTTCCAGGAAATTGTGACTGCATATTTTACAAGGTATTTACTGAGGTACATTTACATAAATTTACCTTGTAAAATGGACCCAGGATATCTGGAGCTGGTGGAAGACTTCAGGCCCTAATGCCCCAAACCTCAGTTCCACAGTTTGGTGTACGTTATTGTCTTGTCCCTGGTTTCCCCAGGTTGCGACAACCGACAAAGTATAAAATATATATTTTGTCATCTCAAACATGAAGGAAAACTTCGATTCCTGTGCTATATCAATACTGATGGTGACCATGTCATTAGCAAATAGGAGAGTTTTCCTGGTGGCCTCCTGTAGGTATAAAAACCCGGTTCATCATCTGTCTGTCTGCTTCACTTTTTCATTTCATTTTATCTTGTAAATATCTTTTTCGTTTTATGGAGAGTAGTGGTTTTTACCCTGGAGTCTAAATACCAGTTAGTAATAGTTTGATTTATTTATTTAGAGAGTTCCAGGAGTCTTAGAATAGATTGTTTGAGATTCTAAATGATTTCACGAAAACATAAATTTTTCAGTAGTATCCTTTCTTGAGGGGAGAATGTAATTGTGCAATGTATAAACAAGGTTTCCTGTGACTCCAGGAGAAAAAATGGCCTTATATTAGCGTGATAGATTCTGGCAAAGATGAAATGAAGGAAACAGTAATACCAGCCAGGTATACCTCAGGCTTACTGGAGGTTTTCCTGAAGAAAATAGTTGTGAAGCAGCAATTTTCAAATGTCACTATACATAGAAACACATTGGGAAGCTTGGTATTTTTGTTGGTATTTTTAGTTTTTGTTGTGGTTTTGGTTTGTTTAATTTTTTGTGTTTTGCTAGTCCTGGGGCTTGAACTCTGGACCTAGGCAATTATCCCTGAGCTTTTGTGCTCAAGACTAGTGCTCTACCACTTGAGCCACAGCTCCACTTCCAGCTCTTTTTGTAGTTTACGGGAGATAAGAATCTCATGGACTTTCCAAACCTGGCTACCTTTGAACTGTGATTCTCAGATCTTATCCTCCTGAGTAGCTAGGATTAGAGGCCTGAGTGACTGGTGCCTGGCTGTTTTGGGTTTTTAAATGTAGAGATCTTGCTCCTCAGTCTTGGACTATAATAAATCTACAAAAGGACTGTGGGTCTCTTGGATGCTTATGAGAACAAGCTGGCAAGCTGAGTTGGATGATTGCATCATGGTTCTGTGCGGTGATTCTGAGTAGTCAGTTTATGAGTAGTCAGAATGTAATGATTCTGAGTAATCAGAACATAATATAACCATAAACTTTAAATGTTTAAGTATAAAAAATAAAATTATGGTACTTTAACTTATGTCTACCATTATTAATAATGACACTTACATTTTAGATTACAGAGTTCATTACACATCACATCTGATTTTTATGTTGGCCTCTTGAGATAGAATGGACAAGTGGTTATTTCTTTTTTTTTTTTTTTGGGTCCAGTCGTGGGGCCTGAACTCTGGGCCTGGGCGCTGTCCCTCAGCTCTTCAGCTCAAGGCTAGCACTCTACCACTTGAGCCACAGCGCCACTTCCGGCTTTTTTCTTATGTGGTGCTGAGGAATCGAACCCAGGGCCTCGAGCATGCAAGGCAAGTGTTCTACCACTGAGCCACCTTCCCAGCCTCAGTGGTTATTTCTTTATCAATGAGAATACTTAAAACTTAGAAAATAAGTGATTTTTTTCCTAGCATAGCATAGCTAATAAACAATGCATGTATATTAGCATAGAGCATTTTCTAATTCTAGGCCATCATTATTTCCTGTGTACCCTCATTGTTTTTCTGACACTTATTTTGCCTTTCAGAGAAACAAAGTCAATCTTCTAGGAAGGACAAGTAGTGTTGGCAGTTTTCTACCTTGGTAGTTTCTTATAGGCGACAATGTGGAGGCAATTGCAGATAGAAACTACTTGTCTTTATAGAACATTCTTAGTATAGAAGAAGAAACATCTCTCCTTTCTTTGACAGAAACTGTACAAGATAGGCCGAGAGATGCAAGAGAGGATCATGGACCTGCTTGTGGTGGTGGAGAATGAGGACTTAACTGTGGAGCTCATTCAAGTGAATGAAGATTTGAATAATGCCATCCTTGGGTATGAGAGGTGAGCCATTGGTTTGCTTTTTGATACATCTCAGACCTGACTTTCACTATCGTTCGCTTAACATTCCTATTGGAGGAAACATAAGGAAATACTCTAGATTCTTTTTACTTGACAGTTGTGGCATCTTTGGTGGGACAGTTTTCTCTTATATGGCCATGACTCAGTAGACATCATAGTGTTCCTCCTGGTTGAAGTGACTTTCTAGACACTGAAAGAGGCACCTTTCCTACTGAAAATTACTAGTAATATTTAGTACTCTCCCTAGATGGTTAACAGCAGATGAAGGTTGAGATCAGTCTGACAAACAAGAGAGTGGTGAGCAGGCCTAGATTCAAATCTAGCTATTGATTTCAGATAAACTCTCCTGTCTTTGGAGGGGCTGATTTTTTTTTAAAGGATGAAACTAGCCAGTGTATATTGGCACTCATTAAATTATCAAATATTTCAATTTCTTTTCTTTTTTTTTTTTTAACCAGTACGAGGGCAGCCCTGAACTTTAGCTTATTTTGCTCAAAGCTGGCACTCAAGCACTTGAGACACCATACCTCCACTTCCAATTGATCTGGGTGATTAATTAGAGAGAAGAGTGTCTTGGGCTTTCCTGTCCGGGCTGGCTTTGAGTTACAATCCTTTACATCTTAGGCTTACAGGCATGAATCACTGGCATCTACCCAGCTAAATACTGATTTCTTAACCTTTCAATTAGTATCCCAGTATAAAAATGACTTCTCTTCCACACACACTGGGAATGAATGAGCCAAGAAAACCAGTCAAATAAAAACCAGAAGTATAAAATGATAGTTTCTTTCCTTCACTATCTCATATTAACTGCTTCTCAGGGACAATAGTTGTTTGTAAGAAAAGATGACAGGGCCTGACTGATGTTGTGAGCTCCAGAACCATTTTTTTTTTCTTAGCAATGAACAGAATCACAATTCTTGCCCTTCATTTCCTCTGATATAAATCTTCGTAAGGAGGAGACGTATCCAAAGACATATTTTTCTGTCTAGTACTGCCTTCTGATTTTCATTTGGGAGAGCTCTGTTGTCACATAAGGCTACTGTCTAAAGGCCTCCTTAAGGAAAAATGTTGATGTCATCTAGAAGTTAGCAAAATCGTCCTCCTTTTGTGAATAGCTCATTCTGGTTCTACTTTGAACCTCACGTGTGCCAAAGAGAAGACAGCAAATGTGAGATAGAAGCACCTGCTTCCTGAGGTTCAGGGAGAAGTTCTCACCTCTAGAAGAGATACTAGTTTTGGTGTTTTCGTTTCCTGTGGGTGATGTATCAAATTTTGACAATCTTGATAACTCATTACAATAATTATTCAATACTATAGAATAATTCCTTACCATAGAATAATTCATGACAATAATTCGTTATCATAAAATATTAACTTAAATTCTCTAGGTCAGGAATCACAGATGAGTGAGTGTTACTAAGCTAAGTGCGAGTAAGGTAGGAGAAGGACACATGTACTTTTGGAAGCTCTGGAGATGCCATACCCTTATCTTTTACAATTTACAGAGTCTGCCTGCCTACTTTCCTTGGCGTAGGGAGGCTGAGGCAGAAAGATTGCAAGTTTGAGGCCAACCTGGGCCATAGAACAAGACTTTCAGTAAGCAAAATTCTCAGAGAAACAAAAATCTGCAAGAAAATATGCACACTAATTTCTGTTGATGGGATTCTTAGTTTTTCTCAAATACTGTCAGGACTGGTGGAGTGGCTCAAATAGTTGAAGTCCTACCTAACAAATGTAGGGTTCTGAGTTCAAAACCCCATTACTGCAAAAACAAATTAACAAATGAAAACCCTTTGTTTTTTGTTTCATAGTAGGCGAGGCTTGCTTTCACCACCCTGAAATATTTGTATTTCATATAAATACGAATATAGGTACTTGTACTAATGGTTAACTTTTGTAGCATCTTAAGTAGTTGCATTTTGCTATTCAAACAGGTTTACTCGAAACCAACAGAGGCTTTTGGAGCAAAGGGGGAACCAGAATGAAGCCACCCATGTAAGTGATTAGAAATGTCATAAACAGGGCTGGGAAGTTGGCTCAGTGGTAGAGCGCTTGCCTTGCATGCCTCAGGCCCTGGGTTCAATTCCTCAGCACCACATAAGCAAAAAGAAGAAAAGCCGGAAGTGGCGCTGTGGCTCAAGTGGTAGAGTGCTAGCTTTGAGCTGAAGAGCTGAGGGACAGCGCCCCTAGGCCCAGAGTTTAGGCCCCACGACTGGACCCCCCCCCCCTAAAAAAAAGAAATGTCATAAACAATTGAGTATTTTTACCCATGGTACAGTAAGAAGCAAGGCTTACCTACAAGATCTTTAAAAAGAGACACGCATTAACAAATTTCAGGAGGTTTGGGTGATACTGAATATTTATTTGCCTTAAATCAAAAGTCCTAAGAAGTATCCCAAATTAAGCAGGACCCCACGTGAATGGTGAGCTGTAAATCATACTCTTGTTATTCACCGAATGGAGTATTTTGGAATGCAATCCAAATAGGCTCCAGGGTAAAGTTTATGGGGAGAGGTACTGCCCTGGTAACTCTCATGCCTCATTGTTTTCTGAGTTCTGCTTTTGTCTGTTTTCTTTTCAGACTGCCAGTGAGCCTTCTGCTCCATCTTGTGATCTCTTGGACCTGAGTCCCAGCTCTTTCGTTCCTGCAGTCACTCAAGGAGAACTCAGCAACATGAATGCACAGTTTTCAAACTTAAGTAAATAAGCAGTGGGGACCTCTTCACACCATCAGAAGAGCTTGATAGGAATCAGTGCTCCAGTTCTTGGTGTCATGATTAACTGCCTCCAGAAAGGAAGTCATTTTGGGTATCAGAGAATTCTATCAGGAGATGTAATTACTTCCTGGAAAATGGCTGGGTCAGACCCTGTACAGGAATAGGATATGTTAGGGGAGGCCTTTGAAATTCATCCTACTGGTTTAAATTCTTCTGAAATGTACCTAGCGTACCCTGTAGAGGTTGTCCAGCTCATAGCCAATACTTTAGTCCCCCAGGGAATCACATACTCTTAACCTCTATGTTATCATCCTTGGGTTTCTCGGGTTTACAGCAGCATTAAGTAAGGGGCTGAATTGCACCGAGAGGAATTCAGGAATTATGAGTCATCATCCATGTGGGGGTGGAAAGGAGAGGGAAAATATAGAGGGAGTCAGAGAAGTAAAAGTTGAACAACCAGTTCTGCCACAATTAAGCACCTAACCTTTGAGACTCTCTTTTATAATGGTTTCCTACAGGGGCTGCTGTGAAAGTAAAGGAAATGATGTTTATACAACTTATTGTAGGCTTGGGGCCACCCATTTTATATAGTTATGTTGTTACCTTCTTCTGTCCTCGTTTCTAACAAGTTCCAAAATAAGGACAGTGAAAAAATGCTAAAATCTAGTTGTGGTTTTTCTCTTAGATTATCTGGCATTTCCAGAGCAAAAATACTCAGTGGCAATGAATTTGAGGTTTTCTTAGAGCTTTCTTCACTTCTAAAATATTGCCTGCTTGCTTATGTTAGCCAGCAAGATTTGTAGAGGGTCGTATTAGAGTGTTTTCTCTGGTAGGGATGGTGGTGGTGGTGGTGGTGGTGGTGGTATGTGTGTATGTGTGATTGGTTTTGTGTGTCTGTCCTGGGGCTTGAACTCAGGGCATGGGTGCTGTCCCTGAGCTTTTTTGCTCAAGGCTAGCACTCTCCCACTTGAGCCACAGCTCCATGTCCAGTGTTTTTTATTTTTTGTTTTGTTTTGTGCTTAAGTTGGAGATAAGAGACGGACTTCCTTCCCTGGCTAGTTTCCAACCTCCATCCTCAGATCTCAGCCTTTTGAGTAGGTAGGGTTACAGCCATGAGCCAGCAGCACCAGTTTCTTGTTTATTTTTTAATCAGAAATTTTTAAGAATTATTCTGTTTCAAGTACCTCATTTGATATTATGGGAAGTTAAAAGGTTAGACATTAGAGTAGAGCTCTGTATAATCTTTTACTTTTTGTGCTGAATAGGACAAGAGATGAGATTTTTAAAAGTCCAACAAAATAATATATGTTCCCTTTACAATAATCTCTTTTCATTGCAGCAAATAGCTCTTGTCTTTCTGTCTTATTTCTATTTCTCTCTCCCCTGATAAATGATACACTTTAATCTCCTTTAGGGAAAATCCTATGATTATATGATAGTGGCAGGAAATATCCAAATTAATCTATATTTGTTTGTTTTCTGTGGAAAATATTTTAAGGCCATACAACTCCATTTTCTGTTCTAGGTTTCAGTGCTCCAAATCCTGTAGTAACAAACAACTTGAGCCCCAGTCTTTATCCACAAATGGATTTGTTAGCTTCAGAAAATACAGAAATATCCCCGTAAGTACATCACTAATACTACAGAACAAAACCAATAGCATCTGGTTCTTTGTACTTAATACTACATGGTGGACATCAGAGCAAACAGTATAGACTATAGAGTCAGACAGATCTTGGAATCAGTCCTGCTTCTCACTAGCTATAAGACCTATGATTGGATTTGAGCCACTGTGAACCTTCATTTATTTCCCTTCTAAGAATACTTCCCAGGAGTCTTACAACTATGTATGAGAAACAATGTATGGAAAATTCCTAACATAACCATTATCATGTTACACAAGAGATGGTAATAAGTTATCTCTGTTATTTCTTAGTGGTAACAGGAGATGGAGGAAAACAAATATAAAGACCAAGGAAGAGAAAGAGATAAGGTTTAAAATTGTTAAGAGTAAAGCCACATGAAATGCCTAGCACATAATAAGTGCTATGTAATTTTTACGATCTTGTAATCTTTCCCAAAGTTCTTGCTTCAGTGTTACAATCATTTCATTTGTGTAATGCAAGAGATTGAGACTTACAGTGAATATAACTTGCCAATATGCATGTGCTAAACAGCAAGTTTCAACTAATAGATCACTGGCAAAGACATAATAATCCATAAATAAGTGAAATGATATAGTTAGAGAAATGTAAGTTTAAGGCATTTTGTTCCTACCTTTCATATTGACCAAAGCCCAAATGTTTGGTAATAGATCTCATTAGCTATGAAAAGACAAAAAGTATCACAAAATTATGTGGGTTTTTGTTTTGTTTTGTTTTTTGTCAATCTAGGGGTTTGAACTCAGGGCCTGGGCACTGTCCTTGAGTTCTTTTGCCCAGTGTTTATGCTCCATCACTTTGAATCACAACTCCATTTCTGGTCTTCTGGTGGTTAGAGATAAGAATCTCACTGACTTTCTTACCTCGGATGACTTCAAACTTCGATCTCAGCCTCCTGAGTAGCTAGGATTACAGACATAAGCCACAAGTGCTTAGGATTAAATTATGTATTTGTGTGTTTTGTTTTTTTTGTTGGTCATGGAGGTTGAACTCTGGGCCTGGGCACTGTCCTTCAGCTCTTCAGCTCAAGGTGAGTGGTGCTGAGGAGTCAAACACAGGGCCTCATGCATGTGAGGCAAGCAATCTACCATTGAGCCACCTTCCCAGCCCAAAATTATCTATTTTTTACAAGGTGCAAATGACGATAGTTACCTTTAAAGCTGGAGTCTGATTTCAAACAATTTATGCTCATTTATTACACAATTAGATATGACAAATTTATGGTTTACAGTATTTTAGGGAACAGCAAATTAATAAGTACTGACTAGTAAAGTACTGACTGGTAAAATAGTTTTATAGTATTGCAGAATTAGAGGAGAAAGTCAGCCCTCTGTTAATCACAAATATTTGTACTACTAATTGGGCGGAAAGATGCAGAGCAGCACATGTATGGTATATAACATTTGTGTATTTATCAATTTTCATAAAAAAATAAAGGTAGGATGCAGAAAAATCCAAAAAGAGTAGTAGTGACTTAAGTTTAGGGAGATGCAGAATAAAAAGAGCAAAAAATAAACAGAATTTGAATTTGTCTTATAAAAAGACAATATTTTTAATTTCTTTTAAATGTTAGGTATGTAAGTTAATTGGTAATACATTTCCACCAGCCAGATGTCAAACCAATGTAATGGCTATACACACACCTACACATATATATGATATATAATATATATAAATAAAATGTTATATGTCATATATATAAAGTTATATATATAATTCCTTCCTTCCCTACCTTCCTCCTCTCTTCCTTCCCTTTTCTTCTCCCTCCCTCCTTGACATCCTTCTTCACTTCCTTCTTCCTTCCCTTTTTCTATTATACTAGTCATTTGTAGTCACATCTGCCAATCCCAGCCTCATGCACCAGCAATCACTAATCTGTATGGTTAGCCTTCAAGTATAGCATCTAAATAGAACCACATAATACTTAAACTTTCTAGAAGAGATTGTCTAAAATTGGTGTTTGTTTATCATGTATTTTGAAGCTCTTATCATTGAATGACTGTACATTTAGGAATGTTCATCTTTTTGGTGGCTTGACAATTATTATCTAATATCCTTTATCTCCTTTTTTTTTTTTTTTCCGGTCATGAGGCTTGTAGTCTGGGCCTGGGTGCTGTCCCTCAGCTCTTCAGCTCAAGGCTAGCGCTCTACCATTTGAGCCACAGCACCACTTCCAGTTTTCTGAGTGGTTTATTGGAGATAAGATTCTCATGGACTTTCCTGCCTGGGCTGGCTTTGAACCACGATCCTCAGATCTCAGCCTCCTGAATAGCTAGGATTATAGGCGTGAGCCACCGGCACCCAGCTTCCCATAATTTTCTTTGCCCTGATATTTGCTTTGTAATAATATGCTTACTCTAGTTTCCTTTCTATCAGTGTTTGAGTGATATCTTTCCCCATCTTTTTCTTAACTATTTCAAAGTATTTGTCATTTCTTGGAAGTAGCATATTGAGTAATTCACTTTTTATGTACCTTCATAATTCCTGGTTTGGAGATTGATCTGTTTATACTCTTTATATTTAATAAATTTTGCACTGTCTACATTGCATAATTTACTATTCTTCCCTTTTCTTCAGATCACTTACGCCTTTTTTCAGATTATTAGAATGTTTTCAGAATTCCAGTTTAGTTCATCTAGTATGGCTTTGGTTGTACCTTTTATGGCATGTATATTTATACGTGTATATAGAAAGATTAAAGGCATGGCTTTTGAGATTGCAGTATACTTAATTTTCCAGCCTTTGTAATCGCCATTAAACCACTTGAAATGAAATGTTTTATATATATGTTTTATATATATATATATAAATTATATAGTCTCCTTTTATTTTGGTTATCTTACATATTTCTATTGAAAATCTCCCAATAGACCATATTTTAATTTTTGCTTGCACCTTTCAATTATAAGAACTCAAGAGAAAAGGTCTTATATTTATCCAGTATTTACTATTTCTGCTGCCCTTCTCTTCTGGTTTGATTTACCTTCTCGCTGAAGTTTTTTTGTTGTTTTTTTTTTTTTTTTTTTAATTCCTTTAACAGTTCTATCAGCAGTTCTATTTAACTAGTTTATCTTTGTTCCTGAAGGGCAGTTTCAGTAGAGCATAGAATTCTAGGTCTGCAGTTGTTTGTTTTTGCAGCTTCAAAAGGTTGTTCCACTCATATGTTTCTAATATTTTAATAGCCTAGTTTCTAAGAAGACATCTACATTGACTTGAAGCATTATTCTTCTGATAGATAATGTGTTGCCTTTTCTGGCTGCTGTAAATACTGCTTTGATCTCTAATTTTGAGTTGTTGGTGATGTCTGGGCATGATGTCTTTTGGTTTATTTATTTGGGCTTGGCTGAGTGTATTAGTTTCCTAAGTTCTGCCATAGGAAATTACTGAAAATTAGGTGGTTTAAACCACAGATATTTATTCTCAATGTTCTGGAGGCAAGAAGTCTGAGAATCTCTTCTCTTCCTATTCCAGTATCTGGTAACGTGGCACTCCTTGGCTTCCTTGACCCCATCTCTAGCTTCTGTGTCTGTATTATCCAGGTGGCCTTCTCTGTGTCTCCAACCTCATTGCATGTGTAGCCCTACAATAGAAAACAATGTAATATCCTCATCTCAAGATTCCTAATGCTATCTGTGGAAATGGTTTTTTGTTGTTTTCTTTTTCCAAATAAGGCCACACAGTTTTCAGATTATGACTTGGACAATCTTGAACCTTGGGGACAGCAGGGGCTAGGATTTAATCCAGAAACAGAACTTGAATAGATAGATAGATAGATAGATAGATAGATAGATAGATAGATAGATAGATAGATAGATAGATAGATAGATAGATAAAATGATATATATATGTGTGTTTATGACTTTCACTAAATTATGAAATTTTCAATCTTTCTTTTCTTTTTGAAAGCTAGTACTGGGGTTTGAACTTAGGGTCACACACTTGGTAGGTTTGCTTGATAGGATGGTGTTCTGCCTCCAGCCGTGTTTTTCCATGGTTATTTTGGTAATAGAGTCTCTTGGACTTTTCTGTCTAAGACTGACTTTCAACTGCGAGATTCTCCAGATCTCTGTCTCTTAAAGTAGTTAAGATTACAGGCTTGAAACACTGGCACCCAGTGGGCCTTTATTTCTTTCAGTTTTTTGGGTTTTTTTTCCCAGCACTACGTACTGTCTGCTTTCTGCTAGGGCTCTAATGACACATTGTTAGATCTGTGTTACCTCAGATATGAGTTAAGCTTGTTAATTTCTTTATTCACTTTTTTTCCCCTCTTTGTTCAGATTGAATAATTTCTCTGAGCTGGTTCAAGTTCACTATTTTTGTTTTCTGTCCTCATTTTGCTGGGGAGCTTTATCTGTAAGATTGAAACAATTTCAGTTGTCTTTTTTTTAAGCATATATTAATTACAAAAAGGAATTTCATTGTGATATTACCGTACATGTTTTTTGCTTTTAAAATTTCCACTTTTTTATATTGGCTGTTTCTTTGCTAAAACCTTTTTTTTTGTTTTTGGAAATTGTTCCTTAGAGCATCTGTACAATAGCTGAAATTTCTGTGAGATAATTCCAACATCTGTGTTCTCTTGACATCCATTTATATTGTCTTCTTAATTGCACTAAAATTTTTCTGGTTTTTTTTTTGTATGTCTGGTAATCTTGAATTCTTTCTTGGGCATTTTTAATATTTACTATGAGATTCTTAATCTTTATTTAATATGTCCAGAGTGGTGTTGATGTTTTGATTTTAGTAATCAAACAACTTGGTTAGATTAATGTGACTGTTTCACTCCGCCTCTGTATGTTGTGGCTTCGAAGTCAGCTACAATTTTAAAGTCTGTGCAATGCTGTTTGAATCTACTTGCATCAACCAGTGAATACAACAGATCAAGCCCAGGATTTCATAAACAACTTTATGACTCTTTCCCTCCCTCCCTGACTTCTTCTATTGCTGTGATTTCTCTGACACTTAACTGATATCCTGTAACTCCTCTGCTCTGTTCTCCAGTCATGAAGGAGGCTCATTAATTAGCCAATTATACCATACATTCCTCTATTGTGATGTGCTTGTGGCCAATTGGCAAGGCAAAAAGAAAGAAATAACAGTTCTCCCAGCCCTTTAAGATTGTGCAGCTCTAGTAACTGGAAAGGAAAATTTTCCTGTTGTCTGTTGTCACTGCAGCCATATAAAGGTTACCTGTGGCTTAAGATATGAGGACAGATGTGAAGGCATAGCTAGGGATTTCCACACATTCCTCTTTTGTGCTCCTTGTGGGAAAATGACAGTGCTTCTCTTGGAGCTCTGCCATCACTGATGGCTGTATTTGGGGCTCAGGTCACATTGTGTTCAAATAAGGGAATAAAAAAGAGGGGGGGGGGGGAGAGAGAAAGTGGGGAAAGAAAAAGTGGAAAGGGGAGAAGAAAGAGGAGACAGAGGAGACGGAGGGGAGAGAGAGACAGAGAGAATTCATCTTTCTCGAAATAGGCTGTTGGTATTTTCACTGTCCTTAAATGCTTACTTCATATATTCAGAGGAAAAAAAGATGATAACCTGTTTATTAGTCCACCTTACCCAGCACTGGACTCCTCCCACCTTCCTTTGTAACCTCTACTCTCTTCTACAAAGTGATGTGGCTTTAGCTACTCTGGTGGAAAGACTAAGGCTCTGTTCATACTACTGTACCATTCACACCTCAGGGTCTCAGGACTACCACTGTCAAAGGATAGTGCTTTATAACTTTGCTCTCCCTGATATATGGGCTTCATAATCTGAAGGGCTTGTAACCAGAAGATAATGTTAGAAGTATTATTTTTTATTCAGCATTACTTTTATATTTTTATTGAAGATGCGGGATCGGTTTTTAGACTAGGAAAATCATCTTACATTTTGCATTTGTGTTCTCACTGTAGGATAATCATGCTGTGTTATCACACTATCCTAGGTTTGCCCAAAGGACCAGCCAAAATCTCACCTCAAGTCACACATACGATAATGTAAGTAACACAACCCTCTTCTGGCTCTTAGATTATCATGGCCCCAAAGCAGTGGTTATTTTTTTTCTCATGTTTTCCTGAGCATTTGTTTAGACTCTGTTGATGAGGCCCTAGTTTAGAACTTTATTTCCTTTTTAATCTTTCTAACATGGACAAGTTGAGTGATACTTCTGTTAGAAAAGATAGTTCAAAACCATGATATCTACGCTGGAGATATAGCTAGATGGTAGAGGCAGAGCAGTATTTGTGTAGGATGCACAAGGCTACAGGTTTCATTCCAAGCATCACAAAAACAAAAGCAAGTTGCAGTCCTTAGTCTTTGTTTTACCTATGTATAAAATGAACCACTTGCAGGGCACTGGTGGCTCACGTCTTTAATCCTAGCTATTCAGGAGGCTGAGATCTGAGGATCGTGGTTCAAAGCCAGCCCGGGTAGGAAAGTTCATGAGACTCTTATATCCAACAAACCACTCAGAAAACCAGAAGTGGCACTGTGGCTCAAGTGGCCGAGCGCTAGCCTTGAGCTGAAGAGCTGAGGGACAGGGCCCATGCCCAGAGTTCAAGCCCCATGACCGACAAAAAAACAAAACACTTCCCTTCCCTCACATGGCTGGCAGATAGTATTGTTAGTTCTTCTCTTGCCCATTTTTATGCCTTCACTGCCTTTTTTTGCTAGCCCTTCTCTTCTCCTAACCTTTCAGTGTTGGAAACTCAGGGATCAGGCTTTAGATTTCTCTATATTGACATTTACTCCTCTGTGGTCTTCTGGTTTGATGTGCTGAAATAACCAAGGTCATGTCTACCGACAAGTTCACGTCTCTAGACCAGATCTTCTCCCTAAACTCAGAACTCATATCCACTTTTTTGTTGTGTTTGTGTTTTGTTTTTGGTGCCAGTCCTGGGGCCTGAACTCAAGGTGTGGGCACTGTCCCTGAGCTTTTTTTTCTCTCTCTCTCTCTCTCAAGGCTAGTGTTCTACCACTTGAGCCATAGCACCACTTTCAGACTTTTGGTAGTTAATTGGAGAGATAAGAGTCTCAGGAACTTTCCTGCCCAGGCTGAGTTGGAATCACAATCCTCAGATCTCAGTCTCCTGAGTGGCTAGGATACAGAGATGAGCTACCTGCGCCCAGCTCAGTGGGCTCTTTTTTCAGACTCTCTCTTTCACTTCACTTTCCCACTCAGATGGAAAGTGCTTGACCTCCACCTGTTACGTTACATTCAAAGGTATGTGGGATCCAATGGTATTTCACCACCTCCACTTCTCCATCAGTATACTACAGTGGCCTACTGGGCGTTGCTCTATATCAGCCGGTACCTTATGCCCTTCTTTGCACTCCCATCCTATCTCACTATTTCTAGTCCTAGAAATCATAGCAAGGTTTTTAAAAAGTCAAGTCGTTGTCACAGATCTACTTAGCACCCATCTCTCCATTTTCTTCCTGTTTCATTAAGTAAAAACTTGAGATGCTGATCTGACCTTGTGTGTGGGTACTTCTGTAGTGTTGTTACCTTTTGCCTCTTTGCTCCAGTCATGACTTCACTCTGTTCCAACCATGCTGGCCACCTCGACTTCAGACCCTGTACACTAGTGTCCTTCCAGATAATCAGAAGGCCCATGTCAGCAGGGTCCTGCGTAAATATCCACAGTGGTTACACATCAGTGTCTATCAGTGCACAATCGCACCTCATTACCTTCTATGTCTTACTGTAGCATATGCCATCTGACACTGACCTGCATTTGCTGATTGCAGCCTGAATGCAGGAGCTTTGACTGTCCTATTTATTACTTCAGTGATAGTGTCTATAAGCTAGGTATCCAGAACTTGTGGAAAAAAAGAAGTATAGTAAGGAATATTTCTAATCACTTAAAATTTGGATTTTTTTTTTTGTACTGGTTCTATGGCTTGAACTCAGAGCACAGGGCTAGCTCTTATTAGCTTTTTTCCCTAAAGGATGGTAGTCTACCACCTAAGCCACTGCTCTAATTCTGGCTTTTGGGTAGTTAACTAGAGGTAAGAGTCTCATGGACTTTTCTGCCCATGCTGGCTCAAACTGTGAGCCCCAGATCTCAGCCTTCTGAATAGCCATGATTACAGGTGTGAGCCACTGGTACCTGGATAAATATTAAATCATCTTTTTGTTTTGATATCATTTTGTACCTTTCTGCAGCTTAAGATGTTTATTTTTTTTCCTGTTGGAGGTTCAGAGTGAAACAACTAAGAGCAACATTAAAAAATATATGTTTTACATTTTAAATGGGAAATGGGCATGAAATCAGACAGAAATGTAGTACATTTTCCAAGTAGTTTTTACTTAAAAACTAAAGTAATGTGAGGCCCCAGTGGGCTCATGCCTGTAATCCTAATTACTCAGGGGTCTGAGGTCTAAGGATCACAGTTCAAAGCTAGCCCAGGCAGGAAATTCCATAGACTCTTATCAAAGAATAAGCCAGAAGAAAAGATCAAAAGCTATTATGTATGACCATGTAAGATGATGCTAAGCGAAATGAATTCCAAGATAAGGACACAAGAGGTTTTGTCTTTCTTGTTGTAGTTTTTAATGTACTTACAATGTACTGTGTGGGTTTTTTGTTTCTTTTGTATGTTCTTCCCCTTATGTATAACCCATTTTCACTGCATTTGATTGAGGTGTCCTGCATCTTGCATATACATTTTTCTAATTTGGGAAGGGGAAGGGAAATAACAAAATGCTGAAATAAGGATACAGGTTGACCCATTGTAGCAATGAGATATACAAGATACCATGTTGAAAACGAATTTAACAACTTTGGGGAGAGGGAGGAGTTGGGGAGGTGGGGAGGGAAGGGATGGTAGGGGAAAAACAAAGGAGGGGGTAACAATGCTTGATAGGAATGTACTCATTACTTTCCTCATTAACTGAAACCCCTTGTATAGTAGCTTTACAATAAAAAATATAATGATTAAAAAAAAGAAAAAGCCAGAAGTGGCACTGTGGCTTAAGTGGCAGAGTATTAGCTTTAAGTAAAAGGAGCTCAGGGACAGCACCTAGGCCCAGAGTTCAAGTCCCGGGACTGGCAACAAACAACAACAAAAAACCCTAAATAACTAGTTCTTATCCAATTGAGTGCCTATGGCTTTTGGTACAATGACGCTTGGAAGCCTAAGGATCTAATAATAAAATTGCCTAACATGGAATGTGTGTTTGAACATGTCCTTCCTTCAGTTACCAGAACACTCAAATTCAGTATTACTACAGCCAGTCAGCCTACAGACCATCACAGCAACACCAGCAAACCAAAGGCCACCACCCTTACCCAGCAGTCACCCAGGTACAAGAGGTCTCATTGATCTGTATCAAATAAGAAAACTGGTGGGAATATCTGAGTCTGTTGAGAATCTATTAGGAAGTGAAAACAAATGGACAGAGAGGGGAAATTAGAGAAGCTCACTTGCATGTTCAAGCTATATTGGGTAAATGTAGTGCCGTGACACCATTATATTATAAAAATGTGTTGAACTGAATGCTGTATTTGCAACACTAAGGTAAATGAAATGTTAACATTTGGAAATATTTTTGTTATACATAGATTAGTTGAACTTCAGAGTACCTGAACACTGGTCTGCTTGTTTGGGTTGTGTTTCTCAGAATCTTGTATTTAAGACTTAACAATTAGATTTGTTACACTAAGTATAATATTGTGTACATTCTGTGGCAAGCTTACCATTTATTAACTGGTCTACTTTTTCACCTAAAGCAATGATAAACAATGATAGCCAGCCACCCAATTACTACGAGGTAATGGAATTTGATCCTTTAGCTCCTGCTGTTACCACAGAGTAAGTTATTTATAAGTTATTCATAAAATGATTATTTTCTTGTCTGGTTCCCTTTCTTTCTTTTTTCTTTTCTTTTTTTTTTTTTTTTTTCTTATGTGGTGCTGAGGAATCGAACCCAGGGCCTTGAGCATGCAAGGCAAGTGCTCTACCACTGAGCCACCTTCCCAGCCCGTCTGGTTCCCTTTGATAGTAGAGCTAACCTAGCTTGGTTTTATATATCTATATCTATCTAGGTGTGTGTGTGTGTGTGTGTGTGTGTGTGTGTATGTATATACACACACATATATATATACACACACACACACATATATATATATATTTAGTTTTATTTAGGTCTTGACAAAGATTGATGACCTTATTGAACATGATTTATGAAGTGTTATAGTGGCTGTTGTTTAGTCTTCTCACAACCTGTGACTAAACAATAAAAATGCTGGGGTTGCACATTAAAAAATAACTGGAACCAACATGTGCATTAGTGGATTCTTCAGATACCTTCTTAGAAAGCCAATTTCTCTCTAGCTTGACAAGGGCACTATTCACCCATGAACTAAGTGCCACAATGACAGAGTATTTTAACTGTTCCTTGAGAATTTAAGGAAACTTATATATAGGAACTTTTTAGTCTTTATCATATATGATGAATAAATTGTTAATATGACAAATAAAGAATATAAAATTTCTTTTAAATTTTAAATCCTTACACCACCATTATTTTATGATTTCTTGTCAATCAAGTGCATATTGGATGAAAGGCACATTAGAGTTTTATATCCTCTGAATGATAGAAAGGTAGCCCCCTACTGAATCATTAAAAATGTTCAAGTCAAGTGCATGGAAATCACTGGTCAACAATTGGCAACCTGCACATTCATAGTTGCTAACAATGAAATGGGCTATTTGAATACAAAGTCTCTGTGCTTCTCATACTTTTGGATATTGTGTAGTACCAGATCTGTATTTTATGTGCCAGCACTGAGCTGAGGTATCTCCTGTTCAAAAAGATACCCCACTGGACCCCCACGCTCCATGCATGGCATGGCTAGGCCTTTGAAACTTTGACCACAATGTAGTTTAAATCCTTACATACAGGGCTGGGAAGATGACTCAGTGATAGTAGTGCTTTGCCTTGCATGTATGAGGCCCTGGGTTCAATTCCTCAGCACCGCCTATGAAAAAGCCAGAAGTGGCACTATGGTTCAAGTGGTAGAGTGCTAGCCTTGAGCTGAAGAGCTGAGGGACAGCATGCAGGCCCAGAGTTCAGGCCCCACAACCGACAAAATAATTTTTTTTAATTAGGAAAAATTAAATCATTACATCAGCTCTGGAATCATTTATGAATTGTTAATGGGTCTTAAAACTTGTTAAATGTACTTTTCCTGATGTAGGACTTAGGAAGTTTCCCTAGCTTACATTGTTTGCTAAAGCAGATGTATCATTGATCTATTAGTGGTTTATGGAACTGGCATTAAACTTGATATAATTTTTAGAATTTAAAATACGTTTCTGCATCTAAATAGGTAGAGAATTTTTATTATATTCAGATTAACTAACTAGGTATGGCTGTTAGTAGATATGGTACTATTACAGGTACTGTAGGTGAGCATAGTAAAGAAACAGTAAAGCTGGAGAGGTAGGGCCATGGAATGTGGTTCTTCCTTTATAGGGGCAAATTCCCTAAAAGCACAGAATCTTACAGAAAAGTTCTGGACTTTTTACAGCAGGCTCTTCATGAGCCCAGGATAATAATTTTTACTCGTTATTTTTCCTTTAAATCAACAAAATGAATTGTCTTTGTGTGTGTGTGTGTGTGTGTGTGTGTGTGTGTGTGTGTGTGTGTGTGTGTGTGTGTGTATTTTTTTAAGCAGGTGTATGAATTGCTACATTGGAACTTAAGAAAATTAGAAACCTAAGCTTTAGGATCGAGACTTTAGCATCTATTCACTAATGTTTCCTGACTTTCCCAAATAGCCCCATATTTCTAGATACGGTTCGAGCAATTTAAAAGCACCATAGTACTCAGATATATAGTAACTTTTTTTTTCCATTTTTTTTTTTTTTGGCTTTTTTGTTTGTTTCAGAGCTATTTATGAAGAAATTGATCTTCATTGCCACAAAGGAGCTAAAAGTCACAGAGATCGTTGAGGTACAAGAACTCAGTTTATACAACTTACAATTCACATGCATTATCATTTCTATGTCATTGTCACTTTTTATATTATTTATATATTCTAAGGACACCAGAGCCTAATATGAATCCTCTGCATGACTCAAACAGTAATTAACTATTGTTCACTCATGAAATACCTAAGTTTGTAATCTTGTCCATTATAAATGATCTGGCCAATTACAAATGCAGACGTTGGTTTATGATATACAAACATTAATGCCAACAGGCATTCAATAGAAACTCATCGCTGAAACCAGGCATTTGACTTAAATGTGCAGTCAATACCTATAAACTGGTTACCAGTAGAACTCATTCAATATTAATTCTCTAAACAGGTCTGTTTACAGTACCATTCATTGCATTTATTTATTAATGAATGCCTGGTCTCCAGTGACCTATTAACTTTATTCCCTTTTTCTAAATAGAAGAAGCATATTCCTTCTTTTTCTCTACTTGACATTGGCTCTCCAGCCTCCCATTAGAAAAAGGAAAGAGTTATCAGGGAGTGAAGAAGATTGTTAAGATGGAGATTGTTAGTTTCTTATTTTTGGTTACAGTGGATTATCAGCTCACTAGTAGCACAAGGATACCAGCGCTCTAAAGAACAGACCCTGTCCAACTTTCAGGCCTGGAAGACAAGAGCAACCAAGTTATGAAGACCAAGGCAGGCCATTTCTCTTCTTTTATCAGGATAATAACATTTGTGGCTCCTTGATGGCTCAAAATTTATTTCCATATAAATTGGCTGTAAGAAACAATCAAACTTCATAAGGAAATTGCTTAGTAATTAGGCCAACCTACAGTCTTATGTCATAGAACTTTCTACACAGAAAACTCAAGACCCAACTATAAGAATAGATGAAGATTATTCAACTACAAAATGATTCTGATGCTACATGTGTAATGAGTGCCTTCATTTAACTAAAGTTGAATGTAAAAGTCAATTTGCACTAATTTTTAATAATACTATTGTTTAGAATTGTTGTAAAGACTTGATGATTGTATTTTAATTATATTTCAAGTGCCCTGAACCAAGTCACTACTGGAGTATGTATCAGGTAGCTTTTATATGATTCTTTGTAATGCTAAATATTTTCCCCCTAGGACTGTAATTAACATCTCTATTTGGAACAAAGACAAATGGAAACCATTCAATTGTGCATTATTTTCATAAACTACAATGACAAATTACTATTAAAATAATTTAATAATCTTTGTTTTAGTCTTGTGTTCAAAAGAACTTTTACATCAGTACATCTTCACAATCCTACCCTGTGTTTTAGTATTAAGAGTTGGAACTATGAAGGTAAATGCTAACATAGCCTGATATACATAATTCTTGCATTTTATTTCAATAATACCACCATAATTTCCAAATAATTACCTATTCGGTACTCTAAAAGTAAAACAGCCACAGATATTGAAGTCTTAAAAAAAAAAGCCCTTAGTCCTCAGTGACTCTTCTCTCTTCACTTGGAATATTTAAAATAATAAGTGTTTACACTCAAGGAAATAAATAGCCAAATATTTTGGAGATAGCAAAATATGTAGCCAGATGTTCTGGCCTCTGACCTAAACAATCTGGAGCATAAATTCTTTAAAACTTTTTCAGATTCATTGCTAAAAGTATGAAGGGTTACTAATCAAAAAGGAAACTATAGAATTAAGCTGGACCATCAAACTCATGCATATATATATATATATATATATATATATATATATATATATGTATGTATATATGTATATATATAAGAAGTATGAAGCAGTTTCTTTTAATACTGTCAGTGTGTTATTAAACAGTCACATATTCTTCATAGGCATATATGGTACAAGCTTAACCTATTTTAAGTGGGATAAATTAGAGAAAAAGAACAGCAGAGCCATTTAACAATAGAAGCTTCAATTTACATGATTGTAGAATATTTCTCTTCAGAGAAGGCAGGATAAATGATTTTTCAAAAATCACAAATTTGAAGCAGGTCTTGGTTGCTACTTCAGTTATAGCCTGGAAGTGGCAATTTTTCCCCTTCCTTTGCTTCAAAAAAAGTATAAGAAAGAGTGATGAGATCAACGTTCACCATTCTTGGATCTTCAGCAAATTCCGGATCAATGTAAAAAAACACTGGCATATCTACTTCTTCTTGGGGATTAAGCCTTTGTTCTTCAAAACAGAAGCACTGGAAGTTACAGAAAGATACTTGTTTAATAACACCTCTACTCTAGTATCTAAAACAAAGCAATGAACAAAGGAACAGTTCATTTCCTACCTTTAAGTTCTATGATAGAATAATACCATCTGATTTCCATCTCAATTGGGTTTTGATTCAAGGACTGAGAATCAAATTACTCTTAAAAACAGACACTCATTTGGTTGGGCTTTTAAGCTCTACATAGCCAGGTATAAATAATGATAGAAACAGCTTCAAGTTTAAAAGAAATGAGGAAGTGGCACTGTGGCTCAGTGGTAGAGCGCTAGCCTTGAGCTGAAGAGCTGAGGGACAGCACCCAGGCCCAGAGTTCAGGCCCCACGACCAACAACAACAACAACAAAAAGAAATGATTTTTAGATATTACACATAACAACAACAACAACAAATAGAAATGATTTTTAGATATTACACGTAACTACTATGACAGTGTTAAGAAGTTTTGTATTAAACAGTTTCATGGGCCCTTATCATATTGTATAATATGTGCATTCAGTTTACCTGAATTTTATTGAAATACTGCCCAGCTTCAAATGGTACAACATTGTATGTAGAAATTCCAATTATTGGTTTGTCAGTAGGATTCTTAGCTTTATAAAATGCTAGTGCAGTCTCTCCTGGTACCACCTGTTTAGAGAGTATACATTAGTAACACTTTAAAATACACATGGCTCCTTTTTTCCCTCTATTACTCATTTACTCTATTATCTACATAATACCTACGGTCACTAAAATAAACTGAAGATACAAACAATTTTAAATCAATGAAGAATAAATGCTGTTACAGATTACTCTCTCCTATACCTGAAGTATTCAAGAAATGATTTGCAAATTAAATTAGATCAAACCTATCATAACCAAAGCCTTTTTTTTTTTTTTTTTTGTAGGTCCTGTGGCTTGAACTCGGCCTGGGCTCTGTCCCTAAGCTCCTTTTGCTCAAGGCTAGCACTCTACCACTTGAGCCATAATGCCACCTCTGGCTTTTTCTGTGATTAATAGGAGATATTGAGTTGTGTGAATTTTCCTGCCCAGGTTGGCTTGCAACAGATATCCTCAGATTTCACCCTCCTGAGTAGTTAGGATTACAGGTGTGAACCACTGGCACTTGGCAAGCCTAACTTCTTCATAACATAAACTGGAATAGTCATGATTGCATATTTTTAAAAGGGTATTAATATTAAACTTTATTTAAATTATAGTGAATTAAATTCATAACCAGAGTAAATTACTGAGTAGGACTTTTATTGAACAAAAAGTGCTTTGAAAAAAAGTAGCAAACTTAAAAGACAATTCAATGGATATTGTGTGTCACAATTAATACTCTGTAATATCACCATGTAACTGGAATTGATGTGCAAAATCGTAACATAGTAAACACTTAAAAAGGAGATTCAGTCAGGTTTAGTAAACTGAACAAGAACTAATATTTGCAATAGTTTTCCAATAAATATTGAAATTAGATCTGTAGTGATCAAATTTCTGTTAAAATTTGAGTTAAAATTTTAGGGGATCTTACATATGGTCTTATTGGAGTACAAATGTCACTTCATTATTTAATATGATCTAAATATTTATTTTAAAAGTCTTAATTTTTTTTTCTTTCTAGGATGTTAGCTCAATGGTAGATCACTTGCCTAGCTTGTATGAGACCTTTGGTTTAATCCTGCCACACCTCAATTTTTTTTTCTTTAGAGAGAATACTTTTGATAGAAACCAATAAACTACTCTGGGTTTTTATGTTTTCTTTTTACTGATGCCAAACTCTTCTTTACCTTGTGTAGCTGGGATTACAAGCATATACCACTGTGACTAGCTCATTTGCTGGAATGAAACTGCACTAAGTTTTTGCCCGTGCTAGTCTAAAACCACGATCCTCCCCATCTTGTCTTTAGAACAGCTATTATAGGCATGACAACTGACCTCTAGTGAGATACTTTTTATTATAACCAAATGATTGTCCAGTATCTGTAACTGAGGAAAAGTGAGAAGCCATTTAGCATGATAGGTACTGCTAAATCCAACACTGGTAATCAGAGAACTGCCTGGTCAACTCTTAACAGTATTATAATAAAAACAGATGACATTTTTCATTGTTCCAAGCTGACATTTTCTACTATCCCCACTTAGAAGTCAAAATACATACTTGGGTATGTATTAGTGAACATCTGTAATCTCAGCACTCAGGAGGCTGAGGCAGGATAATCCTGAGTTTGAGACCAGCCTGGGTTACCAGTAATACCTGTCTTAAAGCAAAGCAAAACAAAACAGAACAAAAACTTAAAGTAGATACATTAAGTGGAGGACACTAACAAGTAGTCATTTTGAAATACTAAGATTCCATAAACTAAGTGGAATTATTCATGAAACCTTTTATTATCTTGAAATTTTATTTAGATGAAACTTGATATGGTGAAAAAAATTTACACTGTGGTAAGTTATAGTCTAATAGCTGCTTTAGTTACTTACATATATTTCTGTTTGCTGAGGTCTGAAGTTCCACTGGAGACTGGCATGTACATCTGCATTGAAGGTCACCTTAATGATCCGGTCCTTAACAGGCACCATGTTTTCAATCTGGTCTGATGCATGCCCTGCTATTGCTGATCCACCAAGTCCTGTAGTCTAAAAAGAAAGATACTAAGTTAATACTTTTGGAAATTGATTTAGTGAATAAAATTAAAACTTTAAAGATACCTTAATATTCTAGTTGAAGCCAAGTTTATGCATTATCACTGACCATTTCCTATACCTAGCAATGGTTTGCCCACTTTGGGGGTGAAAGAGCCTGTTATTTGTTACATGCTTTTCAGCAATCCCATGGTTATCTGCCTTGGGTCAAAAATGAATCATTTGGGAAAATCAGATCATATAGATAAGCAAACTATCGTCACTAATGCTACAACTCATATTTTCCTGCTTAATCTTGTTTTGCTGGTCCTGAGGCTTTGCTCAAGGCAAGTGTTCTACCACTTGCCAAGGAGCCACTTTCCTGTTTTTAAGTAGTTTATTGGAGCTAAGAGTCTCAGGGAGTTTTCTGCACAGGTTGGTTTGAACAACAACCCTGAGATCTCAGCCTCCTGAGTAGCTAGGATTACAGGTGTTAAGCAAACAGCTCCCAGGCTCTGCTTAATCTTTTATTAAACATACTTCCCTTTATTGTTAGTAACTTATATTAACTACTATTGGTGACCTTTCATTACATGGCCTAGTCATATCAATGAAAACAATACGTCCACTTTTCTGTGATCCTGTCTGATCCTCTTCCATATCACATCTTTTATCGTTCAAACTAATTTGTCAGTCTGCTTTTCTAAGGCATTTTTCCCCAGCCTGGTTAATGTTTTGTATAATTTTCTTACATCTCTGCATAGATCTACTGTTTTTCATCTTTTATAGGTGTCAACAGTTAATCAGAACCTGATTTCTTTGGTCACTGAATCAACCTTTCATAAAGCATAAAAGTAACGTAGGTCTCACACTTCTTCCTTGCCATCATTTTATCATTAGATGCTTTAAAAAGAAAGTAAGGTTCTTACTTCCAAGGCTGTTATTCTCCTGATGTTTGAGGTTGCCAGAATTCTGGTTTCCAGATATATACCTGCTGCTATACTAGGAAAATACACACCAAATCTGCAGCCAAGAAAAGGCTCCTATAAAAACATAATATTACTGTTTTTTGCTTCTTATATGTTGCCTCGCTGCACTCAACATTGTTAAATTACATTTTAACAATAAAAGATGCATCAGAGAACAAGTCTCTATCTGTAAGATATACACATCATCTTCTGCTTCAGAGTGAGCTCCTTTTCCTCAAGAATTTAAGTCTCTTAAATTAAAAACAAAAATGTGTCCTGCTTCAAAAGATTCCCTAATATATTCTATGAGTACAGATCATTCAAGTTTCTAAGTTAAATTCGTTACAAAATTAAAAGAAGTTGAAAAGATTTCATGGTCAAGTTCTTCAACTAACTGACTAAATCTTATCTTTTTTTTTTTTTTTTTGGTCGGTCATGGGGCTTGAACTCCAGATCTGGGCACTGTCCTTGAACTTTTATGCTTAAGGTTAGTGCTCTACCAGTTTAAGCCACAGCTCCACTTCCAGTTTTCTGGTGGTTAATTGGAAATAAGTATCATGGACTTTCCTTCCCCAGGAGGGCTATGAACCATGATCCTCAGATCTAGCCTCCTGAGTAACTAGGATTACAGACATGAGCCACCAGTACCAGGCCTAAATAAATCTTTCTTTGGTTATATCTTATATGTTCATAAAATAAGGTCACTGTATTAAAGTGGCTTACACAATTGGTTTATTTTTGCTCTAAAACACTGTGATTCCAGAAGTAGATTTGCTCTTTTGGAAATACTATTGCTTAATATCCAACTTGCTTTTAGGATTACAAAACACACAATTTTAACCTACTTGTCCAATTTGCAATTTGTCAATTACTTCAGTTTGGAGCAGGGTTTCTCAAATCTCAGCACTAACAATATTTTGGGTAGGATAATTCTTTCTTGGAAAGGTGGGGCTATTCTCTACACTGCTAGATATTTAGCAGCATCCTTAACCTGGACCCATTCGATGTCAGAAGCATCTTATCCCACTATTCCCCACACCTCAGGTTGTTACAACTAAAAATGTCTTCAGGCATTGTTAAATGTTCTCAAAGGGGCAAAATTATTCCCTCTTCAGTCCTTTGTAGAGAATCTAGATTTTTTATTTTGATTTAGTTCTGCTTATAATCTAAACAACTGAAAATTTGAGGGTTCACACTTTTTCCTCTCTAGCCTCCTGCAAAAAGGAATTCACATTCTATACTCATTCAAGCAATCAAGCTTGAATCAAGCACATTCCCACTCAAATGCTAGTTTTAGGAGCAGAAAGAAATGCCCTTTTGGCATTGGCTCTTTCATCTTTTGAAAGGTAAGCTAGTCTCAGTAAAGCTAGGGAAAGTAAACCCTACATTAACAATGGTGTCAAGGAAAGAGCAATAAACTCTGCCATGAATACTAATCATAGGATTAAGTTAGTTACTCTCCAACTCTTCTTCATGCTGAGAAATACCTGAAAATTATAGATGCCCAGCTCTCAAACACTTGGATGTAAGGCCCTTGACATAACTTAAGGGTTTTTAAAAGCTCTCCATGTGATTCTACAGCAGTGTTTGAATTTCAAACTGTACACTAATTGAACTCAATGTAACTATACACTGTATACTAATAACTCAATATAACTCTCACTTGTAGCATGATTTTGAACTCAAGGTTCTGTTTTCTATCCCCTGACCTAACCAGAATCTCAAGTGGACAAGCCTTGTCATGTGTATTTAAGAATTTCCACAGGTGGCTCTAAGACCCAGCCAAAGCCCGCAAACTATTTAGTAAAGTGCTAACCTTGAGCTGAAGAGTTCCCAGGTCCAGAGTTCAAGACCCAAGACCAAAAAAAAAGCCAGGCAAGCCAGGCACTAGTGACTCACACCTGTAATCGTAGCTACTCGAGGCTAAGCTCTGAGGATCACTGTTCAAAGCCAGCTCGAGCTGGAAAAGTCCATATGACTCTCACCTCCAAATACTCACCAGAAAACTGGAACTGGTGCTGTGGCTCAAAGTGGTAGAAAGCTAGCGTTGAGCAAAAGAGCTCAGGGATAGCACCGAAGCCCTGAGTTCAAGCCCCATTACCAACCAAAAAAAAAAAAAAAAAGAAAAAAATCATGGAGAAATTTATAAAATATGCTAAACTAAATCCACCAGTGGTTGGTAGACATTAATTTGCCTCTAATTCAGCCACAGTACTTAGTAAAATACAGGTTGCTGTTTTCTTCCCTTTAGGATTACTAATTCAGTCAATCTGGAGTTGGGTAGAGGAATTTTAAGTTTGATCAGATTCCTGAGTGAGGTTGATGCTTCTGGTTTTGGGAACCGTATTCAGATACACAGCACTATTTCTGATCTAAAGTGCTATACACGAAGAAGGAGAAAAAAAAAAACAGAGGCATTACACCTCTAACTTTCTTTGGATGAATTTCCAGTTAAAACAGCACGGAAACCACATGTGGTTCAGAACATGAATGTGTCAATACAGGTTAGATATTGAAAAGCACAGGCCGGCGGCTGGCTGGGTTAAGAGCAGTGGAGGCTGCTGAAGCTTTTTGGTGAGGTGGAGCTCCGAAACCAAGAAAGGTCATTGAGAGATGGGAAGATGCTAGCTCACTACAGCAACTCATTCACTTGGAGTTTTTTTTTTTTTTTTTACCCCGTCAACTCACAGCCTGATGATGACCTTGGGCTGGTCACTTTGTGTAGGAAGCCTGCTTCCTGTCCTACAGATAACCTAGGATAGACCTGGAGTGATTGACGGCTAGGGACGGGGGGGGGGGGGGGGGAGGGATCGGCCTGTACCCTGCGCCCCCCTCCCCCAAAGGACCCAATTTCTGCATTGATTGACCCGGAGGGATGGGGGGGGGGGTCCAATCTGTACACACACACCAGTGAAGTTCTGCAGTGACTGACCCCTGAGAGGGATGTCCACACACACACACACACACACACACACACACACACACACACACACACACACACACACACACACACACTGTCTGTCTGCACCCCACCCTCCCCGGCCCGGCCGACCCCTTACCTGGCAGTAGAGCCGATAGAGGGGCACGGCGGCGTACGAGGCCCCCAGCATGCCCACGGCGGCCGCGGCCACGTAGGTGAGCAGCGTCCGGTTCCGCCGCCGCCATTCGTCCTCCTGCGCCCGCGCGAACCGGTTCGTGCTCTTCGGCCGCCGCGGCGCCTCCGCGGCCGAACCCCAGGCCGGCCCCGGGCCCGGGCGCCCCCACGTCCCGAGCCGCCTCGCAGCCTTCCCCTCACCTCCGGCCTCCGTCCACCGGGGCCTAAGGAAAGGTCCTACCCGCCCGGCCGACCCAGCTGCAGGGGGGCACCGGCGCCAGCCACCGCACACGGCGCGGCCCCAGACCCCAGGCCAGAGCCCTCCCATCACCCCGTCTGGAGAGGGGCGGGGAGGCCCCAGCCAAGTCTCGCGAGGCTTGCGGCCGGGTCTCGCGATCCCTGGGTAGAGCCGGCCGCTGGCTGCCTAGGCTACGGGACTCCTCAGACCCGGGCGCTACGGAGGCCGGGCGGCCGGGTGAGGGTGAGTTCGCGTTTCGCTTAGTGGCTGTGCCTGTCATTCCCGCTTCCCCCGCCCCCCCTCCCCACGCCCCAGGTCTGTCTGTAACTTGCGGGAGGAAGGTGCGTCTCGGATCTCCGCGCGCGAGCTCGTGGTCGCTCGGGATGGTGCTTTCGGATCTCCCGAAACTCCGCCGAGCCTTTGTGCGGACCTCCCTCGCGGCCCCCAGCGGCCGGCTCCGCCCGGGGGCCGCGCTCGGGTCCGGGGCTTCCGGGGCCCACCCCGCTCCGCCGCGGCTCTCCGCGCCTGCGTGTGCTCCGGCTTCCAGGAGTTGGCTGCTTCTTGGCTACTTAACCCGGGAAAACCGCCACCCCTGGAGCCGGGAGGAAAAGTGTGGTCCAGCAGGGAGGGACCAGGATGGGCATCTTGGGTGTAAAAGGAAAACCAGGAAGGCTGTGGTAGCTTTCTTCATTGTCCCGAGTGAGGTCAGCCAGTGCCATCCTAGGCTGACGTCGTAGCAAGCATCCTATTTAGGCTAGGCATCTATGAGTTCTGACCCGGGTTCTCACCATGGCCCTGGCTCTAGACCAGTTATTTGACCTGGTGGCCTTAGGCCCCCATCCCCCAACCCGCCCCCTCCCATTGGATTCAACTAGGTAACTTTTATTAAAAAATAATCATAATGTGATAACTGTGGAAGAGTTATCACGGAGTTAACTATTTTGAGCAAAATCTCATTCCATCCTCTAGCTCGAAACATTCGTATCTTAGAAGAAATAAGAATCCCCCAAGAATGTATTCTCCCACTGAAACGTGTAAAAGTTATCTTTCATTCTATGTATCTGAAGTCATTTTCCAAAACATTACCCAATGCAAAGCATGTGGCTAGTTAAAAGAGACAAACAGAAAGCCTTATGGGAGGATTTATTAATACAGGTGCATTGATCCACTGTCAAGTAGGAACTACTCGTAGTATATTATAGTACTTAAAATAATGGGAATTCTTCACTCTATGATATACCATGTAAATATTCCTTTTGCTCTTCACCATGGGTAGAACAAATTTTCTTTCTAGCTTGTGTCTATGAGCTCTCACCCTGTGTGCAGTTTTTAGATGTTTTTAAATATAAAGAAGTGCGTTTGGCCTTATTTGTGAAGTGGAGATCATAATAATAAATGAGGATAAGCATATAAACATCGCAGTGCCTGATGCATAGGATTTAGTTCAAGTTGAGGTTTATTTGTGATGATTAAAGGAAAGTCTGATGATCCTACCTTTATGGATGAGGAAGCTGAAATTCCGAGAAACTTAAAGTCATTCAATATGATATGTTGCACTTTAACTGGGAGCTGGGCACTTTTGTATCTGTTGGGACTGTAGCCCAAAACAAGTCAGACAAGATCCCTCAGTTATCCATTATACTTTCTACTGTAGGACTCAGGAGCTCATCCTGTAACTGATGGATGAAATAAGGGAATGTGAGATCTTTGCAATGAAGACAATAGAAGGGTTTCAAGTAACTGAGACTGATGAGGAGGAATGGTAGTAAAGTTATATCTTTATGAAAAGGTAAAAGATCTTTCTAGAAGTGATACTTGAACCTACCCCTGAACTATAAGGAGCTTCCTATGCAGTGTCAATTCCAGGACATATAAAGGCCCAGAGAAAAGAGCTAGATAGGACTGAAGACCCAAAACGAGGCCAGTGTGTTCTAGCATCATTAGCGGAGCAGGCAGTGGAAGGAAACCGGGTCAGAGCAGGTATACAAAGGCATAGTTTTACAAAGCCTATTTTTAAACCCTAGCCAAGGGAAGCCCTTTTGAAGCATAGGAGTTCTTTTATGTCAACTTTTGGAAAGGTGCCTCTTATAAAACATTGAATACGTTTGTGTGATGGACAGATAAGGTAAAATGAAAACCATTCATCAAGGCATTTTTCCAATGCCTTTGTTCAAGTAACATTTATGAAGATCAAGGCCAGCTTCATGGATATGTGACTTGTGTGGCCATAGAAAACCCTGCTTTATTATGCTGAAGGTATCTTGTCTCAAAAAGCCAATGATTGCTATTTAGAAGCATTTGATTGGGCTAAGGGGAAGATTGTTTGTTACCTGTGCATCTCCAGAGGCAAAGAGCTGCATTCCTGAGCTGCTTGGATTCTAGAAAGAATGAACAGCTGCACTTTCGCACTGCTTGGATTCCTAAAACTTAAAAAAAAAAAAAAAAAAGCATTAGCAAAGGGAAATTGTCTTTGGGTACAGAGTAAAGGAGACTGTGAAATCAGTTATTCACTGACCTTTTAATGTCTTCATTTCCTGAAACTTTAACATTATTTAAAAACGATCAGTGAGATTGAGCCCACAATAGATAGTCATTTTTATCTTTGCCAGTATATGAAAACAACACTGATTATAATATAGCTGATGTTATCTTGGAGAGTCTATGCTGTGATATTGTTTCTAAATGCGTTTGGTGTTTTTTTGTTTGTTTTGTTTTTTGTTTTGGTAGCTTACTGGGCCTTGAACTCTGGGCCTCTTGCTCTCACTAGGATTTTTTTGCTCAAGACTGAGGCTTTTTCACATACTACACTAACATTTCTGGCTTGTTGGGATTTTTTTTTGCTTTGTTTTTGTTTTGTTTTGTTGTGGATTTTTTTGCTGGCTAATTGAAGATGAGACCCTCTTGGATCTGTTTGCCCTTGACTGGCTTCCAACCTCAGTCCTCAGATCTCAGCCTCCTAAGTAGCTAGGATTATAGGCATGAACTTCTGTTGCCTGGCTAATGCTGTTGTTCTTCTGTTCCTTCATGGTCTGCATTTACAGCAAGAAAAATGTGAAATTTTGATATTTAGTGAGTAAATATATAGTAGGCATTCTTTTCTTGTAAGTCTACATTGAATCCATATAGTTTATTTTCCAGTTAATAATCTTTATAATTACTTTCTTGATATCTAATGTCCTCATGTCTACTTCCTCTCTTTAGACAACATTAATATGAAACATACTCATACTTTGCCCACCTCTTCGCTTGTCTCTCCCAGAAGATCTGAGTGCAGGCTGCCATATCCCATTCATGGGTCAGTGCATGACCATTTCAGAAAGAAAATCTTCCCCCTCAAGATATGTGTATGAGCTTGTGGAGTGGTCAGCCAGATGTCATGCATTTATTTGCTCTTCATAGGTTCAAAAAGGAATGTTATGAATGGTGTTGTCAGGCCATGCATGTGGCAGCAGAAATTGAACTCAAGCCTTGTCTTTCAGAGGCAACACACTTCTACTATAAAGCCAGTGGCAGGGATCATTCTCTCATTCTTTCTTTTTGAACAGACTATAAGTGGTTGATTTCAGAAGAAAATTCAGATTGTTCTGTGAGTTTCTTTTCTTTGAGTCTTGTTTTTACACAGTAGCAGAAAATACGTTTTTTTTTTTTCCTACCTGTCAGTTTGTTCACATAAGAGTAATTATGAAGAATCAAAGGGTATTGGCAGTTTTCTTTAGGAAAAAACCCCAGCTCTGTTGTTTTCCCTTTTAAGTCATAAAATTTGTCAGTAGCTTAACAAATGGAGAACAACGAGGAGAAGGACTTAAAGGGAAAAATGACATCAAGGTAAGAAATGACTGGAAGAAATAAATTAAATCCCAGATGTTAAGAAGGGGCATTCAAATATCCAGTAATCACTAACTGTTCATGAATCAACAAGTATTTTATGTACTTGTGCAGTCACCCTAGGAAACTGAAAAGCACTTACAGTACTCAGCCTCTTGAGTAGCTACAATTACAAAGTGTGAGCTACCAAGCCCAGCTAAGACCCTGACTTGGGTTTACCACCATTACAGAGTAAGCTTTATTCTATAGACATTCGCTCTATTCTGAGACACGAGAGTTCATTGACCTCCCAGTTAAATACTTTGAAGAAAATGTAAAAGCATTTTGTCAAGGAAGTTTGGGAATTACATTCCTGCTTGCAAAGCTCTTGTGAGTTATTTTCATCTTTGCAACGATTGGTGAAAAATCTTGTAATTGTTCATGATGTGTAGTATGTGCCTGTGTGTGTGCTAAGAAATGGGAAGGTACACTTAGATGTGAACCAATATACTGCAGATGCATAATTTTCAACAAAAAATTCTTGGATAAGAAGACTCAAAAAAGAACTCCATGAAGATAGAAATAACAATTCCCATTGTTTTGCTTTTTTTAAACCATGATAGAGATTTTGAAGTTAATGTATATGTATTTTTTTAAAATCGAAAATAACTAAGGAAACTTGGCTAATGAAAGAACGTGAGGGGATTTGTCTTCCCGGGTACAAAAAAAAACCTCAGGTATCAAAAAAAACCCAGGTATAAGAAAAAAAAAACCTCTGTGATTAAAATAGATTTTAGTACATGAATGAATTGACTGACCAAAAGCTAGAATAAAAATCACAGAAGAAAGCCGGGCATTGGTGGCTCACTCCTGTCTGTAATCCTAGCTACTCAGGGTCTGAGATCTGAGGATTGCAGTTCAAAGCCAGCATGAGCAAGAAAGTATGGGACACTCTAATCTCCAGTTAACCACCAGAAAACTGGATGTGAAGCTGTGGCTCAAAGTGGAAAAGCGCTAGCCTTGAGCAAAAGAGCTCAGGGCCAGTATCCAGGCCCTGAGTTCAAGCCCCATGACTGACAAGAAGAAAAAAATGAGAAGAAAAATCACAGCAGACCCAAATACTTTAGAGATTTGATTGATAATAAAGGTCACATCTTAAGTCAGTGAGGGAAAGATATCTGTTTAATAAGTATAGTGAGCCAACTAGATGACCTTCTGGGAAGAAAATATAGGAGTTGGTCCTCTGCCTCACATTGCATAGCATATTAGGACTCGTTCAAATGGATCAAAGATGTTAAATTGG